ATCCTATATGGACTGTTTGGCAAAAGCCAAGAGGCAACCCCCTGCAACTAAAGGACTCTTAGACCCATCTTTTCCGTTCAGGAGGTCTTTATCTGAATGCAAGGCACCATCATTCCTCCCCCCCGCAACTAAAGATCTCTTAGACCCATATTTCCCAATATCCCCCATTCATAATAGAGACTCCCCACTCAAGAGGTCTCTATCTGAATACAAGGTACCATCATCCCCCCCCCCCGCAACTAAAAGACTCTTAGACCCATCTTTTCCGATATCCCCCATTCATAATAGAGCCTCCCCATTCAGGATTGGTCTATCTTAATACAAGGCGTCATCAGTTCCTCCACTCAACTTTCAGGATATCCCCCATTCATAATAGAGACTCCCCGTTCAGGAGGTCTCTATCTGAATGCAAGGCACCATCATCCCCCCCCCCCGCAACTAAAGGACTCTTAGACCCATATTTCCCAATATCCCCCATTCATAATAGAGACTCCCCACTCAAGAGGTCTCTATCTGAATACAAGGCACCATCATCCCCCCCCGCAACTAAAAGACTCTTAGACCCATCTTTTCCGATATCCCCCATTCATAATAGAGCCTCCCCATTCAGGATTGGTCTATCTTAATACAAGGCGTCATCAGTTCCTCCACTCAACTTTCAGGATATCCCCCATTCATAATAGAGACTCCCCGTTCAGGAGGTCTCTATCTGAATGCAAGGCACCATCATCCCCCCCCCCGCAACTAAAGGACTCTTAGACCCATATTTCCCAATATCCCCCATTCATAATAGAGACTCCCCATTCAAGAGGTCTCTATCTGAATGCAAGGCACCATCATTCCTCCCCCCCCCCCCGCATCTAAAGGACCCTTAGACCCATCTTTCCCGATATCCCCCATCCATAATAGAGCCTCCCCATTCAGGATTGGTCTATCTTAATACAAGACGCCATCAGCTCCCCCACTCATCTTTCAGGATATCCCCCATTCATAATAGAGACTCCCTATTCAGGAGGTCTCTATCTGAATGCAAGGCACCATCATTCCTTTCCCCCCCCCCCGCATCTAAAGGACTCTTAGACCCATCTTTCTCAATATCCCCCATTCATAATAGAGACTCCCCACTCAAGAGGTTTCTATCTGAATACAAGGCACCATCATTACCCCCCTCCCTCGCATCTAAAGGACCCTTAGACCCATCTTTCCTGATATCCCCCATCCATAATGGAGCCTCCCCATTCAGGATTGGTCTATCTTAATACAAGGCGCCATCAGCTCCCCCACTCATCTTTCAGGATATCCCCCATTCATAATAGAGACTCCCTATTCAGGAGGTCTCTATCTGAATGCAAGGCACCATCATCCCCCCCCCCGCAACTAAAGGACTCTTAGACCCATATTTCCCAATATCCCCCATTCATAATAGAGACTCCCCATTCAAGAGGTCTCTATCTGAATGCAAGGCACCATCATTTCTTCCCCCCCCCCTGCAACTAAAGGACTTTTAGACCCATCTTTCCCCATATCCCCCATTCATAATACAGCCTCCCCATTCAGGATTGGTCTATCTTAATACAAGGCATCATCAGTTCCTCCACTCAACTTTCAGGATATCCCCCATTCATAATAGAGACTCCCCGTTCAGGAGGTCTCTATCTGAATGCAAGGCACCATCATCCCCCCCCCCACAACTAAAGGACTCTTAGACCCATATTTCCCAATATCCCCCATTCATAATAGAGACTCCCCACTCAAGAGGTCTCTATCTGAATACAAGGCACCATCATTCCTCCCCCCCCCCCCGCATCTAAAGGACCCTTAGACCCATCTTTCCCGATATCCCCCATCCATAATAGAGCCTCCCCATTCAGGATTGGTCTATCTTAATACAAGACGCCATCAGCTCCCCCACTCATCTTTCAGGATATCCCCCATTCATAATAGAGACTCCCTATTCAGGAGGTCTCTATCTGAATGCAAGGCACCATCATTCCTTTCCCCCCCCCGCATCTAAAGGACTCTTAGACCCATCTTTCTCAATATCCCCCATTCATAATAGAGACTCCCCACTCAAGAGGTTTCTATCTGAATACAAGGCACCATCATTACCCCCCTCCCTCGCATCTAAAGGACCCTTAGACCCATCTTTCCTGATATCCCCCATCCATAATAGAGCCTCCCCATTCAGGATTGGTCTATCTTAATACAAGGCGCCATCAACTCCCCCACTCATCTTTCAGGATATCCCCCATTCATAATAGAGACTCCCTATTCAGGAGGTCTCTATCTGAATGCAAGGCACCATCATCCCCCCCCCCGCAACTAAAGGACTCTTAGACCCATATTTCCCAATATCCCCCATTCATAATAGAGACTCCCCATTCAAGAGGTCTCTATCTGAATGCAAGGCACCATCATTTCTTCCCCCCCCCCTGCAACTAAAGGACTTTTAGACCCATCTTTCCCCATATCCCCCATTCATAATACAGCCTCCCCATTCAGGATTGGTCTATCTTAATACAAGGCATCATCAGTTCCTCCACTCAACTTTCAGGATATCCCCCATTCATAATAGAGACTCCCCGTTCAGGAGGTCTCTATCTGAATGCAAGGCACCATCATTCCTCCCCCCCCCCGCATCTAAAGGATCCTTAGACCCATCTTTCCCGATATCCCCCATTCATAACAGAGCCTCCCCATTTAGTGTTGGTCTGTCTTAATACAAGGCGCCATCAACTCCCCCACTTATCTTTCAGGATATCCCCCATTCATAATAGAGCCTCCCCATTCAGGAGGTCTCTATCTGAATGCAAGGCACCCTCAACCATCCCTCTACAAAGGACTTAGGCCCGTGTCCCCCGGTAGCCCCCGTTCACGACGACAGAGCATCCCCATTCAGGAGCCGTCTACCTGAAAGACCCCTCCCATTCTTTTCTTTCCCTCCCTTTCGCGTGCTCTCTCTTTCCCCCCTCCCTCCCTTTCCTTCCTTCCTCCCCTTGAGGGGTTCCCGGCTATCCCAGGCTGGGGATTCTGGGAGTTGCAGTCCGCGCTTCCCCTGCCGGCCCACCTCCCTCCGCCTCGCCCATTTCTCCTCACCGGAGCCGTACTTGACCTCGTGCGAGTGGAGCCGCACGTTGTGCCGCGTGTTGAGCAGCTTCAGCACCGAGCCGCAGGTGACAGCGCCCGCCTCGGCCTCCTTCGACCGGCCGGGGCTGCAGGCCAGCAGCACGAGCAGCAGCAGGGGCGACGGGGGCAGCGGGCCGGGCCCGGCCGAGGAAGAAGCGCCGCCGCGCGGTCGCCGCATCTCCGTTCCTGCCGTGGCTCTCCCGGCGGCGGCTGCGGCGACGGTTCGAGCTTTCGCCTCAGAAGCCGTTTCCGGTGCCGGCGACGGCGGCAGCCAATCCGCGGCTGCCAACACATAGCACGTGTTCCGGCTCCGCCCCGCGGCAGGGCGAGGCGGGAGAGCTGATAGGCTCGAAGCACGCGGCGAGGCGACCAATCAGCTGCGGCGGCGTGGCGGCCAGGAAAGGGGCGGGGCCGGGCGGAAAGGCTGAGGAGGGAAGAGTGGGCGAGGCCTTCAAGGTGGCCGCTGCCGCCCACAACCGGAGCCTCGAAGAGGACGCCGGTTCGAATCCCGCCTTCCTATCACGTGACCTTTAATTTGTTCAAAGGAAGGCTCTTATTAAAATATCTCCTGTTTGGGGGATTAAGGGTTCCTGCCATGGTGTTTACTCAACGAGACGATTGTTCTTAGAGTGTTGAAAGATTAAAAAGGGAGCTATTTATTGGTGTATTATGTCAACTGGCGTGCCACTTTAATCTCTAGACAGGAGAGAGAGAGAGAGAGAGAGAGAAAGGGAGATAGGAAAAAAGAAAAAGAGAAAAAGGAGAGAAAGAAAGGGGGAGAGAAAGAAAGAAAGAGAAAAGGGAGAGAGAAAGAAGAGAGAAAGAAAAAAGAGAAAAGGAAAGAAGGGAAAAGAGAGAGGAGACAAGGAAGGAAGGGAAAAAAGAGAAAGAAAAAGGAAGGAAGGAGAGAGAGAAAAAAGAGAAAGAAAGAAAAAGGAGAGAAAGGGAAAGAAAGAAAAAAAGAGAAAGGGGAGAGAAAGAAAGAGAAAAGGAAAAAAGGGAAGAGAGAAAAAGAAAGAGGAGAGAAAGAAAGAAAGGGAAAAAAGAAAAAGAAAAGGGAGGAAGGAGAGAGAGAAAAAAGAAAGAAAGAAAGAAAGAAAGAAAGAAAGAAAGAAAGAAAGAAAGAAAGAAAGAAAAAGAAAGAAAGAGATGACAACAGACCAAATACATGAATAGGGATCCAGTCTGGTTAAATTGAAGTTGCACGGGCATTTCTATTCTCTGAGAAACGGACCATTCCTATTTTGGAGGTGACACACTTTCTGTTTATACAGAGCAGGGATTCCCAACCGGGGGTCCTCGCACCCCCTGAGCGTGCGAGGCAATATTCCAGGGGGTGCAAAAATTTGGGTTTAGAATTTGTATAACTTTTTCTTATTGTTTTATGTTCACGTCATTCAAAATGTGTTTAAATAAGTAGGTTGCTCAAAGTATATATTCTCTTTCATTATCTTCAAACCAGGTATTATTTTTGTAAGGGGCACGAGAATATATCAGAAGCATTCTAGGAGTGCGGGGTGTAGAAAAGGTTGGGAACTGCTGATATAGAGTGACAAAGAGAGCAAACCCCATTCCCTTCTAGCATTGATAACGTTACCTAGTTGGGTCATAAAACGTCTACAAGAAAATCACCAAGCACAGAGAGCATCAAGGACTCCCCAGTCCTCGCCCCTCCTGGTCTTACTCCTCCTCTCCGCAACCCCCCCTCCCTTCTAGCACTGATGATGTTACCTAGTTGGGTCATGAAACGTCTGCCAGAAAACCTCCCAGCTCAGAGAACACCCCAAACCGCACACTTCAACTCTGAGCTACAAATATGCCTTTCTAAGGAGGCTTTGTTCCATGGGTAAAGTAAAGTATAGGATAGATGGGAAGCCAAGAAAAAAAGACCTTTTAATGTTAATTTAAAAAAAAAAAGTGTGTAAAACTCAAGACATCTCCGACCAAGTGGAAGAGAGGCTAGATTCTGAAGAATAAAACTCAATATTTTTTCCGAATTCCAAAATAAGCCTCAATATCAGAACGCTCAACGGGCTGGTCATCTTGGTATAGCAGTAGAGATGCAGTGGAGGGGAAGGCACTGATCTGACCTCTCTAGGGCTGTAGACAAATGTATATCCTTTATTAATCCGACAGAAGCTTGAGTTTTCAGATTTTGGGCAGCACCGTCTTGCTCCTGTCTCCAGCAAAGCTGGACTTGGGAGTCAAAGACTTCTTCGCCTGAGATTCAGAGCCCTGGCTGGTAGCATCCACCTCCGGTAACAGAACGGCAGGGGTGGCTTTTTGAACGGACCACGAAGACCGTGGAGTGCCAAGAGCTGAAGGCGATTTCTCCAAATCCTGAGTTCCCGATTTCTTATGATTGTCTGTCGTGATGGTGGAGACCTTTGTGCTGGAAGGAGAGCGTTTGGAGCTTGCTAGTTGGGTGCCCCCGTTCTCATCCGCAGAGGCCGGTTCAGCATCGGATGGGAACTGGGGAGGGACGATCTCAAAAATCTCCGGCTCGCCCTCCTCCGTCACGCCGCCTTTATGGGTGCCCTGGTCTCCGTGCAGCTTCACGGCCACCACCTTCCCTTTGGGCACGTCCAGTGGCTTGGAGAAAAGACTCTTCTTCTCCTCTATTTTTTTCTTCTCGCCAGCTTTCTTCTTCTTCTCCTGCTTGGACACTTTGGCCTTGGCCGGCCGCTTCTTAGAGACTTCATCGTACACTTTGGTCCAGTCGATCTGAGAAGAGAGACGTATCCCGCTACCCTTGATCTTCTTGTAGCCGAACATGATCTCCAGCAGAACCTTGGTGACCGGGACCGAGATGAAACCCAGTTTCTCCGACAGGAGCGTCTCGTAATTGTACTTGTACAAGATCAGCTTGGCGGCGTTTTCGATCAGGAAGTCGATGATGGACTGCTTGGGAAGGGGCTTACCCTGGAGACGCGCCCGTTTGATATCTTTGGGAGTGATCATATGCCTAGTCTGAAGAAGCAGGAGAAAAGGAGAACCAGGTTTAAGGACGTGGCGAAGAGAAGCTCTTAAAATAAAAACGTGCTCGGAGGTTACGGGGCTGGGAGAGGCGGATTCCCAGGGAGGCCGTCTGAACCCCTGGGATAAAGGGGTCCCAATGAAGAGAGTGTAGAGAAACATAAATAAAAATAAACTTCTGTGGCAGGACAAGGAAATGCCAGAATATTAAAAGGCCACTGGGATTGTATTCTTTAGAAAATATTGTATAGGCCACATTGACGATTAAAGGCAGGGCATGTTTACAGGTGCTTAATCCAATCCAATCCCACCAATCCAACCCACTCCATTTGCTATCTAATCCAATCTAATGGTAGGAGAAAAGAGGGCAGAACCTGGGGCGGAGTTAAAAGAGGCATCAGCCTAGAATCCCTAATAGCCACAAACAAGCTCTTTTGAATTCCACTGACCCTGCGCTAAAGTCCAGCAATTGAGAAGATTCTTGTGCAATAAATGAGTTCAAAATAAATAAATCGGTACAATAAAGTGCCCTGAATCGGTACAAGATCACTCAGACCTTCAAGTGTGGATCTGATCTTTTGTACCTGACACCAATCTGAGCAACACAACCCAGCCCAGTTTAGTCCCGGCCAGTTCGATCCATCTGCTATCTAATCCAGAGTTATCCGATCTAATTTAATGCAATCCATCTCCTCTCTGTAAAACCGATGTATAACCTAACCTGATTTGATCTCGTATGATCTGGTACCTAATCTATTTCATCCTTTCGGGAGCACCCTGTGCCCTGTCTCCATAACTCTACTGGTTGACAGAACTCCCACGTGTTCCGAGCACCGTTTCCTCGGCTTTCTGCACCCTTTGCAGACCTCTGTGGAACTAAAGGACCAAGGCTTCTTCTCTGCTCTTTTGGTAGCCAAGGTTAAACAGGGCGTTGGACACAGAAACACGTCTTCCGAAACATGGGAAGGAATCAGGATGGAGAGATGAGCAGGTGCTTCATAGGCCAAGGACCAAAATAACTGCTCTATCAGGAGAACAATCTCCCCATATGTTCCACCATGGTTTACCACCGTTGACTCATGGAGAAGACCTCTAGGCCAGTTTTCTCCACCCCTACCCCTCCAAAATGGAGGAGCCCGGCATCCCTAGCCTGTACAGCTCAGCATTCTGGGAACAGTGGCCCAGACATGACAACTTTGCCTTGGCGTCTCCTGAGCTTTAGGGAAGAAACCCTCAGCAATTACCGATTTGGTGGTCTCCGTTTCAGCCTGGCTTGGCTCTTGCTTCTTCTGTTTGGATTTCGGCAGGGGAGGTGGGACGTATCTTGACTTGGTTGGGGTTTCCTTTGTTTTGGAGGGCGGGCCGGACTTGCCTTTGCGAGCGGACTCCTCCGGAGTGGTTGGCTTCTGCTTAGATTTGGGGAGAGCAGGTGGGGTGTGTTTTCCCTTCTCCTCCTCCGAGAGGGTCTCCTTCTCCTTCTTGCAGATCCCGTAGAACTTGTCTTCCTCGGTGGTTTCTTCCTCACTTTCATAACTTTCGGAGATGCTCTCCTCCTCCGAATCCCAGGAGGTCGAGTAGCCACCCTCATCGAAGAGATCGACGATGCCGCCCGTCACGGTGGCCTCCACAATTTTGAGGACCGCTTGGTTGATTACATCCTGGAGACCTGCCAGGATCTTGGTTTCTTCTAAGAACTCCAAGAGGTGCAGGTGCTCGTGGCAGATGTAGGGCAGTGGGAGGCCATGCCGAATCGGCCGCTTCAAGACGCTGGTGATTTCCTTGTGGAGCGATTCGAAGGACAACGAGCATTGAGGAAGGGCCCTCTGGAACTTGGCAAAAAATTCCCTCCTGGGATGCTCAAAGGACTTGGCCCAGATCTGCAGATGTTGCTGCTGGAAGTAACTCTCCCCCGACTGTTCGGAAAACGACTGGGGGAGGAAGAGAGAGAGAGAAAAAAAATCAGAAGAGAACAAATTCCTTCTAGTCACCAAAAGGGTGTCTTGGGGGATAGGGGGGAATGGAATGGAATAGAATAGAGAATAGAATAGAATAGAATAGAATATTGAGTAGAATAGAATAGAATAAAAAGGATGAATAGGATAGGATAGGATAGAATAGAATAGAATATTGAATAGAACAGAAAATAGAATAGAGTAGAATAGAATAGAATAGAATAAAAAGGATGAAGAATAGAATAGAATATTGAATAGAACAGAAAATAGAATAGAGTAGAATAGAATAGAATAAAAAGGATGAAGAATAGAATAGAATATTGAATAGAATAGAATATTGAAAAGAATATTGAATAGAACAGAAAATAGAATAGAGTAGAATAGAATAAAAAGGATGAAGAATAGAATAGGATAGAATAGAATATTGAATAGAATAGAATATTGAATAGAATAGAACAGTGATGGCGAACCTTTTAGAGATTGAGTGCCCAAACTGCAACCCAAAACCAACTTATACATCGTCGAGTGCCGGGTGGCCGTGGCCCATTGGGTGCGCGTGGCTGTGGTGGTAGCGGCAAACTGGGTGGGACTAAAAAGTTCAATCAATCAATTCCAACTTTGCAAGATCTTTTTTTTTCCTGCGAGAAGTTGAAATTGATTGATTGAACCTTTTTTTTTTTTTGCACACGGCGGCAGAGGCCTAAAGCGAAAAGGTTTTATAAAACCCAGCTGAAGGCCTAGGACTGGGGCGACGGTGCACGTGCCCACAGACAGGGCTCTGAGTGCCGTCTCTGGCACCCGTGCCATAGGTTCACCACCACTGGAATAGAAAATAGAATAAAACAGAATATTGAATAGAATAGAAAATAGAATAGAACCTTCCTTTAAGACTTGTGGACTCCAGTTCCCAGAATTCCCCAGCCAGCAAGGCATGGCTGGCTATGGAATTCTGGGAGTTGAAGTCCACAACTCTTAAAACAGCCAAGTTTGGATGCCCCTGCTCTGTGCCCTGAGTCTTTTTTAGTACCAGGGATTGAAAAGTTGAGGCAATTTTTTTTTTCCTTTTCTGGCACTGGAAATTCCCTCAGGCCAATCGGAACCTCAGAACTTTTGGGCCCAAGGACTCTCCTTAGAAAATGGCCTCGCCTTCGAAATACCTCCGCATGGATTCTTCTCGACAGTTCCTGAGCAGCTTGCTTTCCAACTTTGGGGAGCCTGGAGACATATTTATCCAAGAGGCAAATTTGGCGCCCTGCCTTTGACGACTCTGGGCTCAGGAAGTGCTTGTCCTGGTCATCGTCCGAGCTGGACACGGTGGTGGTGGCGGTGGTGGTTTGGTACTGGATCTGGGAACGCGTCGAAGTGTACGAATAAGACCACGTCTCGCTCTCCACGCTTGAGGTGGATTCCTCCTGGAGGTCAAAGATGGGCTCCCCGCTTTGGGATGTCACGTCGCGAAGCTTCTTGACGGCGTCTTCCACGATCTGCTGGAGGCTCTCCAGGACGTCCTCGTCAGCTAAGAAGTCCACAAACTCGGAAAACTCGTTGGCCAGGTCGCTGGGTCTCTCGTTGTAGTTGTTGTTGCTGCCGCCGCTGCTGCTTTGGTGGCGTTTTCGTTTCCCTTGGTCTGCCTGGGAGAAGCCGTGGACGGGTCTGGTGGAGGTGGCCGGCTCTTGGCTTCGGTACTGACAGCGAGATGGAGGCCGAAGCATGGCCCTCCAGTCATAGGGACCTCTTCTAGGACTGGTGTGGGCATTGCTGTCCTACAAGGAAGGCAGGAAAGCAGGCCGTAAACAAACACAAGTACAGGAAGGTCTCAACTTATAACTATTCGTTTAGTGACCGTTCCAAGTTACAACAGCACTGAAAAAAAGGACTTATGACCGTTTTTCACACTTACGACCGTTGCAGCCTCCCCAATGTCACGTGATCAAAATATAAACAGTTGGCGATTGACTCACATTTATCTTACTAATGCATGTTAAATTCCTTTCTTTCTACCTCGTTTTTCTATTTGTATTTGTATTTTGTATTTAATTTTATTTATATGCCGCCCAATCCCAAAGGACTCAGGGCGGGGTACAGAGTTTCTAGCCATTGATCAAAGGTATCCCATGTTCTAAAGTATACTGAATCTTCTTTCTCTTTCATTTTCAATGTCCATCTATCCATTTCTGCACAATCTAAAGTTTTTTTAATTAACTCTTAACTCCGTTGGCAAATCTTCATTTTTCCAATGTTGAGCGAATACGATTCTTGCTGCAGTTAATACATGAAATATTAGATATATACACTCTTTCACCTAGTTTCCTACAATTATGCCTAACAAAAATAATTCTGGCTTAAAATCTATATGTTTTTTTAGTCATTTTCTCTAACTATATGTTTTTTTTTTTTTGATCGATATCTTTTGGTTTTAGGGCATGTCCACCAAAGATGGTAGCAAGTGCCTAGTTTTAGTCTACCTTTCCAACAGTTGCTAGATATGTTTTTATACATTTTTGCTAACCTCAACTGACTCACTTTTAGGAGGATCATAAGTTGAGGTGCCCACATGAACAATCTGGTTTTTGTTTTTTTATAAAAAGCACACAAACCTGGAACCAAAGGCCGTGATGGATTGATAGATTATTACAGTAAATCTGGGCGAGTCAACCTTGGCAAATTGAAGATGTGTGGACTTCAACTCCCAGAATTCCTTGGGAAACGTGTTGGCTGGGGAATTCTGGGAGTCAAAGTCCACACTGCCAAATTGGGAAGAAATGAGAAGGCAGGATGGCCACTGAGGACTAAGCTCTTACTGGGTGGGTTGAGTTTGCAGCAAACATCTGCAGAAGTTCAGTAGGCGCCAGGCAGATACTTAAATTCCTGGATCTAGATCTACCTTTTTCTTTTGTTTTGTTTTACAGTCAGGAAACTGATTTAGTGGAGAATTTGGCTTTTCCGAGAAGCTCCCAGTCTGGAGAGTCCTGTTCCTAGAAAGCGACGTGAAGGGACCCCTTTGATCCTCACCTGAGGTCTTCTGAAGCTCTCGTCATCAGCTAGATAGCCAGAATATTTGTGACCTTCCATAGTGCTGAAAGAACAGCTCCTTAAAGTTCTCCACACCTTCTTCCTGTTTGGCCCACGTATGGAAAAAGATCATTTTTAGCGTAGCCCTATTTCAGCATGGGAATATTCCTGGGGCCTCTTAATAGCAAAGTCATTTTGGCCCGATTCGACATAAAATTGAATTATTTCACAAAGTGAGACAAAGAGGCACACCTGAGTGAGCAAGCTTTGCAATAAAAACAACAGAGAGGTGGTTTTATCAAAAGCTCCTAAACTTTTAAGCTGCTGTAAGCACAAAGTTTCCCTGTTCTGAGTTTTGCACATTTGAGTGTATATTTGGATTCTTTTAGGCAGAATTATCTGATTTGCTAAAATTGGTGGTCAAAACAATAAACAGATCGATTGGTCGGTTAATTGATAGTGTTATTTTTTTTTTTACAAATAAGAATTTCAAAAGTTGGAAGAAATATTCTGAGAAATATCAGTTCCACCATTCTTGGAAGGTCCTGTCTTCCAAAGAATTGGGAGCTGCTGAAGGAATCAAATCTAACGAGAAACAGACAAATTTCTCCTCTCATTTTTTCCTTCCTTCCTTCCTTCCTTCCTTCCTTCCTTCCTTCCTTCCTTCCTTCCTTCCTTCCTTCCTCCATTTCTTTCCTTCTTTCCTTTCTTCCTTTCCATCTCCTTCCTTCATTCTTTCATCCCTCCTTCCATCCAAGTATCTCCATAACAAAAGACCATGAAAAGAATGCCAGCAAAATATTGAAGTACTGAAGCAGAAAATGAACAAAAAATGAAAAGTTCACACTGTGCCAAACATCAACAGATGAAGTATGTTTAACTGAATAAACCACAACAGTTTGGTTGGCTAAACTACAACTGGCTGTGTTCACAACTACGCTAACCACGCAACCACGCTAACTCAGAAAGCATGGTCTAATAAAGCCCCACCACTGGCTTCGTATGAACACTTAAACTGCCAATGAAAGTGGTTTCTGGTATTTTTCATGTCAACAAATCAGGCCATATCTGGAGATGGTAGATAGACAATCCGTTAAGCATAAAGCTAGTTTAGAGTTTGACTAACATCCTCTTTTTGAAGAAAGCCAAATGGGTTGCTGAACACCCAGTTATAGGAAGACATATAAATGACCCCACCAAAAAAAAAAAAGCTGCAGGCTTGGAACAACCACATCAATCCTAAATAGGGCTTGCATCTCACACGGCATCTGCTGAGACTCTCTGTATAAATGGGGCATAGTATCCTCCCCTCATTGTGATTGTGAGTCCCACAGTCCTAAATTGCAGATCACACTGTGAGCGGCTGTAAGCTGAGGGCATCTACCGGTCCAACATCCGATTTCTTTAATATAAAAGATGCTGCACTTCAGTGGTTAGCTGGTATTTGAACACATCTTTTTAACATTTATATTTTACTGGGTTCTACTAATCTAGCTGAAACACTGATTTATATTGCTAGTCCATGTACATTATGATATGCCACATGTTAAATCAATCAAATCAATCAACCCCCTTTTGAAATGAATGAAAAGCACCATGTATCCTTACCAATGGCCTTAATGAAAGTTAAAATATTTGAGAATTAAAGAACGGGAGGGTTTATAATCTCTGGAGAACTTACGCAGCTCTTTGTCTTGTTGAAAAACAGTCAAAACTTTCGCCAAGGCGAGAAATCAATTCAGACTTCAAGCTTTGGAGATGAGACAAAGAGTTACTTGCGGCTTGAAAGAAGAAAGAAGAAGGAAGAAGAAAAGAATCTTCCTCTCCTTTGTTACATCAGCAGTTCTGTTGAAGTGTTGGTGATTCCACCCATTTGCATAAAATATGTTGTTGAGGTCCGAAAGAGGCTTTTTTTTTTTCACGAGGCAACTGGACTGCCTCGTCTTTTCTTTGAAGACGTTTGGCTTCTCATCCCAAGAAGCTTCTTCAGCTCCATCCGGTCAGAGTCAGCTTCACCATCCAGTCAGAGCTGAAGAAGCTTCTAGGATGAGAAGCGAAACGTCTTCAAAGAAAAAAAACAAACAAGTCCAGTTGCCTCGTGAAAAAAGCCTCTTTGGGATAACGGTGATCTGGATGACTGAGAATCTCCATAGATGTTTATGTTGTTGACCAACCAGTCAATCTGTCCGTCCATCATTCACTCCCTCCATCCATCTATCCCTCCCTCCCTCCATTCATCCCTCCCTCCATCCATCTACCCATCCAATCCTCCCTCCCTCCCTCCCTCAGGTCAACCCATAGCTCCAACCCCCTGAAGCTCCAGAACTACAACTCTCAGCAGCCTCCACCCAGCGTGGCCCAAGGCGAGGAATGCTGGGAACTGTAGTTCAGGAACCTCTGCGGTGGAGGGTGGGGCGCTGAATCAGAAGCCCGGCGACTCCTGCGCTTCCTTTCGCTGCCTCCTGCAGTTCCCTTCGAGGCCACCAGAGGCCCCCCTGCGCGCCTTTGCCGGCTGGCTTTCGCTTTTCCCGGGGCTGCGCTTGCAAAGGCGCTTCGGGCATGGGCGCTGCCCCTTCGCCATGGGTGAGTGCCAGGATCCCTGATCTTTTTTTTTGGCGGGGGGGGGGTCTCTTCCTTTTTTGCAGCCGGGAGAGGCCGTTGCATGGCCCGCCGGGTGCAAATCTCGAAGCAGAGCGGCTCTCCCTTCTGTCCTTCCTCGCCCGGCCTGGGCACCAAGGCTGACCTCTGGGAAAGAGCCGGTGGGTGGGTGGGTGGTCGTGGGGGAGGGAGGCGGACGAAGGGGATGAATAGGTGCAAAGCAAGCTGCGATCCGATCCTGGTTTCAGCGGCTAGCCAGGACCGGATAGATGCCCCCGGGTGGCCCCCCACAGGAAGCCGTGCTCCCCGATGGCATTGCACCGTCCGCGCGGGGGGGGGGGAGTGAGAAAGGCGGGGTTGCAGACCCCGATCGAGTCTCTTTGCACCCCTAGAGCTGCTCGCCCTGCCTCCCCCGCCGCCGACTCAGATGTCCGCCTTCTTCCGTGCCAAAGCGGATGTGTCGAACATCTGGATGCCACGCTGCTTTCCCCGGCTTCGCGTTAGAGGCCGGCCCGGAAGGGGTGGCATCCTGGCGGCAGGAGTGATTTGGGAATTCGCCCGGGAAGTTGGGGCGGAATTCGGATCGGGAGACTCGGGGTAAGGCGGTTCATCTGGGATGGGGGGTGGAAGAGTCTTGAGCTGGGCTGGATGACCTCGAAGGTCCCATCCAAGGCTTTGACCCTAGGGGAGATGCAGGAGGGGAGGATGGGCAGCGGGAGCAGAGGATCCCCTGGGAAAGGTGGGCCTGTTTCCCCAGATGCCAGGCTTCTCCCCTCCCAAATGAAGCCGAGTCAGGGCATGGATGGGGCACCACAAGGAAACCTCAGATCTGGACAGTAGACGAGATACAGGCAGTCCTCGACTTACAACCAGAATTGAGCCCAAAATTTATGTTGCTAAGTGAGACAGGTAAGTAACTTTTGCCCCGTTTTTATGACCTTCCTTGCCACAGTTGTAAAAGTGCCTGTCTTAAGTTCGTAACCCGGTTGTTAAGTGAGACTGGCTTTCTCCCATTGATTTTGCTCATCAGAAGGTCACTAAAGGGGATCCCTTGATCCCTAGGGATGCTGCGACCGTCATAAATATGAAGCCCAGCGTGCGAATTTTGATCACGTGACCGTGAGGCTGCTGCAGCGGTCGTAAGTGTGAAAAACGGTCGCGAGTCAACTTTTGTCAGCGCTGTTGTAACTCGGAGCAGTCACTAAATGAACGGTTGTTAAGTCGAGGACTACCTGTAGTAGCAAAAGAAATTTAGCCAGGATACGATTGCCAAGAAAAGCTTGACTTCAGAAAATCAGGGAACAGAAGAATCAATTTCCCAGGGTTGATTATTTTGTTAAATATAGACCTTGACATCCTAACCCCTTCTGATGCTTAAACCCCACTTTAGAATGACTAACCATAATTAGAACTAATGTAACAAACATCTAAGGCCCTGAGAAGGAAATGGCAGTTGCAAGGTTCTGTAGGATTTAATGTCATGAGAATTGCATTTCAAATCATAGTTTGTATTCCTGGAAAAGCACCCTCTGATCTTGGTTTAAGCCCGAACAAATTAACAATGGGCTCCCTTCATCCCAAATATTAACTAACCTATGTTACGGGTTTCTAATCGCAAGGTCTGAATTCACACATCACCCTAAGCCAAACCTGTATGAATCGCTTTCGTGTGCTGTGTGAATTTGACCATTCTTTTACGGGTCACAAAAAGCTAAATTCTTCACTTATGATTTATCTATGGATCACATTTATATGGCCGCCCGTCTTCGGCAGAGTACAACAATCAATCAATATTGTAACAATGCAAAAACCAACAATAGAAAAACACGAAAAAGTCAAATTACGAACGAAGAACAAATTTAAAATATAGAAACTGCAGGGAGAGAGTAAAAAGATTGGCCTTAATGGAGAATTTCTCTGATATTCTAGAATTCCCAAGCCCTGGTGATATAACCGGGTCTCAAGGTATTTCCAAAATGATGGTGATGATTTAATAATATAATAATTACATGCCAGAGATTTTGTGGATCATAAAATGATCCACGGTTATGGTCAACAATCCTCAGCTTGAAAAGCAGACAAGCAAGGAAGAAGAATCTAAAAGGTGTAGATTTATTTATTTTCCGGAAAGACCATTGCCTTCAGCTGAACCCATTTTATTTATTTCATTTACTTGTTTTTTTTTTCCTCCCATCTTTTTATTACTTTTATAGGGAACTCCCAATGGCAAACGTACCTAATGCTTCTTTGTCATCCTCCTTTCCCCCCCAATAACCCAGTAAGGTGGGTTGGGCTGAGAAAAAAAATGACTGGCTCAAAATCAGCCAGCCAGATTTCATTTTTTGGGTGGGACTACAACTCCCAGTCTCCTGGCTTCTAGGCTGGCGACTTTTAAATAATTATTTTAGAAGCATTTGAAAAAGAGAAAAAAAAATAAGGTAGAAAGCCCCCTTAGCGTGGCGCTTATTTTCTGTTTAAATCCGTTCAGAATATTTACCAGAAACTTTATATTTGGTGACCTTAACGGACACTTTTTAAGTGAAAGTGCAGTGAAAATGTTTCCATTTTAAGGAGCAAAATATTTCCATTTTAAGGCGGCAGTGAAAAGGATTCTTTTCGTCAAGGCATACATGTATATCCTTCTTCAGCGATCAATGTCACTGTCTACTGCAGTTGATGTTGGAAGGATTGTTTTTAAATGCTCTGTTGATCTCTTTCTGGCTTTCCTTTATGAAAACCCAGCTAGAAAAACCAACTTGCTAGAACATGTCTGAATTGTTTTCTAGCCTTGCTTTTCATTATTTGGGGGGGGGTTGGATGGAGATTAAAGATAAAATAGAATTAAAGTAGATAGATAAGTTTGAAAATTAAACCTATAATCTTCTGTTGACTTGCAACCGACGCTGGAGAACGGAAGTTCCTGCCACCGTTTCCAAAGTTGCACCATTTCTGGATTTTCAGTTGGTTACTTCCTGATAGCATCCGGATAACTTAAAAAAAAACAAACAAAAACTAGTATTTCTAGACAGGCTGATCTCAGCTCTGGAAGGCAAAGGGGGCCTGGTCAAGTTTCCCTAGAGAATTGGTCGGTCAATTGCATCTTTCTCAAATCTGAATTCTGGCTTTTCCCGCAGCCAAAAAACTAAACTTGAGAAAAAATTGTGGGTATGGCTTTCCTTCATCCACGAACATGTTGTAGGAAAGGAGAAGCGTCAGGCCCAAAATTCAGGAAATTCACCTTTTTTATTCAAATATTAGCTCTTGAATTCACGGCCTCGGATGTAGCCACCTGTAGCTAACTAACTGGGTTGGTTAGTCTGGGTTAGAGTAGGCTTTTTCCACCGGATCTGTTAGATTTCTACATGCCCGTTTTCAAACCCGGATTGAGCTGAGTGCGATTTTACGAGAGCTGAATCCTGGTGTCAAAAAGAGCAGAAGTCTTAGCCCCATTGAAGAAGCTATAGTTAGATTGGAAAAATGGGAAGAGTGAGAATGTTTAATATTGGCTCTAAACCTGACCTTGTTCTGTTTCTTTTCGGCCCAAATCCATCAGTACAGAGTGCATTTAAATCAGGCATTTATTTCATTTTATTTATTTTATTTTATTTCCTGCCCTTATTACTTTTATAAACAACTCACCGTCTCCTGGTGATTGGCCCAAAGTCACTCAAGTTGCTTTCATGCCTAGGGTGGAGCTTTTTCACCGCTGCTTCCTTGCTTGATCTTTTACAACAGCCCTTTGAGGTAGGCTAAGCTGAAAGAGGACACAATCCGTGCCGAAATCATGTTGGTTTAAAAGTCACCAATTCAGCATTTCCTCTCCTTTTTGTTAACGGCCTCTGCTAAGGAGTTAGCCGTCACTTCCTGAAGCTTCTGGGTTTTATTTTATGTATTTTTTTTAGGACTGGACATTTTATTCTTCTCCCATCTGTCCCCCCACCCCCACCTTTTGTGGTTCAGGAGTTAAAAATTTTGGTGCCCAAACTCTACAATTCCCCACCTCTGTTCCAAATTACCTTGCCTTGGTTGAAACGGGCTGGGCTGAGTTTTAGGGCACGTTTCTTTGGTGTCCTTTCTCTGCTCCACAAATTGTTCCGACGAAGAATTCCCCATGTCAAGGATTAAAAAAAAAACAAAAAAACAGCAACTCAAACTCAACCGTTGTGCTTTTCTGCCTCGTCCAAAAAGGCGAGTTTGGCTAATCCTCTTAGTTACGTTGCCTACGGTACTTACTTCACACATCCCCCTCCTGATGGCGAGATTAACAGCTGCGAGAAAAAGACGTGTCCTTATATTTATGCTTCTTTGGGACGCGGGGAAGGTTAGCCCCGGCTGTGGGCGATGGGTTCTGCGGTTCATCCGTTCCTTCTTTGCGCCTGTCTTCACTTTGGGGAGAGGAAGAGAGAACGGGCTAACGCGAGGACTTTTGGCTAAATTTTGCTCCCAGGGTTGACTCCTAAGGATGCCCAAAGCCAGGGTGAAGCTCATCGTAACCGGAGACGACTTTGGCTACTGCCGAAGGAGGAACCAAGGCATTGCGGAGTGTTTCCTGGCCGGTGCGATCTCAAACGTTTCGCTTCTGGTCAACGGGAGTGCCGTGTCCGACGCCGTGCAGCTGGCCAAGAAGTGAGTCTCTCGTTTTACCGTTCTTTGGTGTCATGGGGATCAGCCAAACAGATCTTTAGATCCCAAAAGTGGGTCTACAGGTACTGTCACAGCCCTACATTTATTGATCATTCAAAATTACGGCATCAAAAAAAAAAAAAAGTTGAACATTAAGTGCAAATGCAATTAAGATACGTTTTGAGAAAAGTAATCTGAAACTGATATTATCGGCATTATGAGAAAAATGTAACAAAGATTTTGATATCCAATTGTATATTTACTAATAACAATAAGAATTGTACTTGCCTAGTGTGGGGAAACAGGTATTGCTGGAAAAAGAGAGGAAACGTAGGGTGATGCAATAACGGATCTAGATTGAAGAAGTTAATATATTTTTATCACTGAATTACTAACGGACACAGACACCACGTTGTCTATTAAGTACTTGATTGTAAAACTAGAAAATTAAGAAAAATATTTATATATATAAAAAAGAAAGAAATGGTGAAGGGTAACTAAAAGATGCTGCACAATGAAAATATATTTTTGGAGAGGTAGAATATGAGTCCAATGGCAGTTTAAAAAAAAAAAAATCCTTCAGTGTTTAATTAGCTGATTATCTAACTTATCCTGCTCTGCTTCTGTTCCCAGCATCTCAACCAATCTAAGAGAATTTATTTTGTTGTGTTGACTCTTCACAAACCTTTGAGATTCTTCCTGAATCAGCTTGAGATGTTTCTCCTTCCTTTGCTACTAATTTCTTTCATACATAGTCTTTAAATTTCCTCTGGGAGCTCATCATTATATACACAACAGTGTGAAATTCACAGCTGCCGGTTCTTTTGCTGGTATTCGTATATATAGATTTTCCCTAGCATGTTGTAAGGTATCGGCGTAGATGATGTGTAGTGGCATAAGATTGTAAGTTGATGACTACCTGTAACACACTAACACACGTACATACTCTCTGTGTGTCTATCATCTATCTCTCTTTCTCTGTCTCTATCTTCTATGTACTGTATCAGCTATCTATCAATCTATATCTCTTCTCTATATCATGTCTTTCTATACCTCTTCTCTATGTCTGTCATCTATCATTTCTCTCCCTTCTCTGTCATCTATATCTTCTATGTATATCAGCTATCTATCTATATTCTCTATCTCTATCATCTGTCTATCATCTATTTCTATCTCTCTACATCTCTTCTCTATGTCTCATCTATCATCTATTTTTATCTTCTATGTACTTTATCGTTTATCCATCTCTCTTCTCTTTCATGTCTGTCATGTCTATTTATCATCATCTCTCTGTCTATCTTCTATGTGCTCTATCAGCTATCCATCTCTCTTCTCTATCTCTTGTCTGTCTATCTATATCTCTTCTCTATGTCTATCTTCTATTTCTCTCTATATCTCTTCTATCATCTATTTCTCTCTATCTTCTATGTATTTTATCATTTATCCATCTTTTTTCATCTGTCTATCTATCTATCTATCTATCTATCTATCTATCTATCTATCTATCTATCTATCTCTACCATCTATCATCACTCTCTCTCTCTCATCTATCTACCTAAAGTGAATATACTGAATACTCCTGATTCCTATTTATATATGGGGTCTCCTCCAATTCTATCTTTATCACAACACCTATGAGGTAGTTAGGCTGAGAGACCATAATTAAGTCCAATGTTATCCAGCAAGCTTCATGAGCAAATGGAAATGTATACTGGGCTCTCTCCTTGTCCACCCTTTTATGTTAGTCTTTATGTAATCCTCTTCTCTATATCCAAACTCTGGAAATCTGATCTATCAGAGATGGCCCTTCATATTTTCATATCCTTTTTGATAGTGAGACAGTAGGTATTGCTCACACTTAAATCACAGCCTGGAAATACACAAGGAAGCTTACAGTTCCTGCTACTGACGCTTGATCCTACAGATGATGTCATGGAAGGGGAATTTTATGAGTCACCATCTTGAACTGGGAATGGGTTCAAAGTCAACAGATCCTGCAAGTTCTTCTCCTTGGCAGATGTTCAGAGTTGTTGAGGGTTTTTCATTTCTCTTTCTCTCTCTCTCTGTAGACACTGCATTCCAATAGGACTCCATGCAAACCTTTCTGAGGGCATCCCAGTGTGCCCAGCACTGAAGAGGAAGTCCACACTACTCAACCCAGAGGGCTTCTTCCATGGAAAGATGGGAATTCGGACATGTTTAAACGAAGGGCTTCTGAATATGGCCGAGGTGAGGGGAAGCCAAGGAGACACACCTCCCATCTGCTCTTTCAAAGGTGGTTGAGATACATTGTGAAGGATGCCAACGTTGAGCCAGGCAACTCAAAAGTGGTTGAGTTTGGCCTTGGATGAGAGGAGGAGGAAGAGGACGACAACTGTGGGGTTCTTGGTGCTCTCTGAGCTGGATTATTTTCTTGCAAACATTTTATTACTCAAACTAGGTAACAGCACTGATAATGCTACCTAGATGGGTCATGAGACATCTGCAAGAAAACAACCAAGCTGAAGAGACTAATAAGGACCCCTCATTCCGGTGCTTGCCAAGATGTCCCTCAGAAGCTTTTAATTGTGCCTGATTTGTTTTGTAGGCTTCATCCAATGATTCCATTTTTACAAATGAGAATATTCATGCAATTAATTTACAGCTTCTCCTCCTTTTCTGTGCTTAGGTGAAGCAGGAATTAATAGCACAGGTTGAGTTGTTCTGTCAACTGACCGGCCATTTACCGCATCACATGGATGGACACCAACATGTCCATGTTCTCCCAGGTAGGTTAGAACCTGCTTTGGTTGGTCTACTGCCTCCCTAATGCTCCTCAGAACTTTTGAGGCTTGCATTTCTCTGAAACTGGATCTTCTTACAATGCTCTTCCAGAGATCAGACATGTATTTGCAGAGGTGTTAGAAGATTACGGGATCACTTACACACGAGTTCCCATCGAGCCAGATCTTCCACGCTGTGGCTGGATAGCGCCAACTCTGATGGATTTCTACTTGGGAGTGGAGAAGGATTCGTTGAACACCATCGAGGTCTTTCAAAAGCATGGCATAAGGTGGGACATCTATAAAGCAGGTCGTTTTCTAAGAGTAGAAAAAACCTAATTTGCAACCAGGAAATGTGTAATTTTTGAAATGACAGTTTTGAAGAGTCCGGCTATATAGTTTTTGTCTTACAACCGTTCGTTTAAACAACTATTTGAACGCTCAAAGGCAAATGGATTTTTCTTGGTTTTCTTCCTCAAAAATGTTTCGCTTCCCGTCCAAGAAGCTTCTTCAGTTCTGATCTAGATTCTTGAATGAGAAGAGAAACATTTTCAAGGGGAGGGTGGGGAAAAAACAAGCAAAGTCCAGTTGCCTTTTGGAAAAGCACTCTTGGGAGAAGCATGGCCTGGAGCAGGGGTAGGCAATCTTGGCTCTTTTATGACTCGTGGACTTCAACTCCCAGAATTCCTGAGCCAGCATGGCTCAGTTTGGAAACCTCTTCCTTTCCCCTCAGTGTGGCTGGCTCAGGAATTCTGGGAGTTGAGTCCACGAGTCATAAAAGAGCCAAGGTTGCCTACCCCTGGCCTGGAGGATTGAAAATCTCCACGGACGATTGCTTGAAGTTACAGTGACACTGAAAAGGGACTTAACAACCAATTTGTGCTCTTACAACCAACACAGCATCACCATGGTTGTGTGATCAGTGCCACTGTGACTGCAAATGGTTATAAGAAATGCACTCTCTGTAAGAGATATATTGATTATTAAGGAAGTCTTAAGCAAAGGATGCCTTAAGACTTATGATCACAATTGGTCCCAAAATTCCTGTCACTAAGCGAGGCAAGTGAGTTTTGCCCCGTTTTACGTCGTTTCTTGCCCCAGCTGTTGTCAAGTTAGTAACACAATGGTTAAATGAATCGAGTTTCCCCATGGACTTTGCTTGTCCATGGGGACACTGCGACCGTTGTAAATGCGAGTCGGTTGCCAAGCGGCTGGATGTTGATCACGTGACCCTGGGATGCCAAGTGTGAAAAATGGCCATAGGTCGCTTTTTCCAGTGCTGTTGCAACTCTGAACGGTCACTAAACGAACTGTTGTAAGTTGAGGATTACCTGTGTGTCTGAGATTTAAGATGATAGCCTCTATTGTCATTTTTTTTACGGTGGGCACAACAGCCCACATCAAAAACGAAATTGAGTTGCCCGCTCTCCAAGTGAAACACATACACGACGCACACCTAAACATGCTACGTACAACAACACACTTTTTTGTCTACCGCTTCTAGGTGGCCAGATATATATATAGGCCTCAGCACCATGGGGAAAAACATGTCCATCCAGAGCATCTTAGAGGCTATTGATAATGCCACTGCAGCTCATCTGGCTAACGAGGACTCGACGTCTCCTCCGCCATCTTCATTCTTATGTCCTGGTCAGGGAGTCCGGACGGTGACGCTTGAACTCATGACCCATCCAGGCTACCCCAGCATCCCGCCGACTGGAGGTTGTGGAGAAGGCCCGGATGACTTTTCTCAGTCGTGGGAACGCCTGCATGAACTGGAGACCTTAACCAAGCCAGATCTCCAGGAACATTACAGGAGCAGGAACATTCAGCTCTGTGCTTTCAAAGATCTTGCCGTCTGACCCTCCTCGGGGATGGGACACTCCCGTGTTCGACTGCCTCTTGGGTTAGGTGAAGACGCTGGATCAGGGATGGTCCCGGTGGGAGCAGAAGATCTTTGGGAAGTTTTGGTGCTCTCTGCAGGCAGATAGTGCTGCTCCTCCTCCCGTTTTATTTTATTTTTTAGTTTTGCAACTGGAGAATCTCAGAGGGGGAACTGGGGACTGTGGTTGTCTTCGTGAGCGGCATCTCCAGAAATGATGGTTGTAGAAGCTGGTGAGAGTAACGGCGTTGATAGAAATGCCAGCCTAGACCTGGCATTTTAGGGTACACCGAGAGGGGAGAATATTTAAGTAACTCAGGGTTGAAATGAGGGGCGCTTGGTGCCCTCTGAGCTTGGTGGTTTTCTTGCAGACGTTTCGTGACCCAACTAGGTAACGTCATCAGTGCATCACTGGATTATCTTCTTAACGTGACAATAGTTTTCATGCCAGAGGCAAGCTTTGGGGCCTGTTCAACAAATCACAATTAAAACAAGCCTAGGCTTGGCATGATGTAAGAACCCAGCCAGGGCAAGTTAAATCTCTCTTTCTGCGTAGTATTCTGAGATAGAAAGGCATCTGGAAGAATCAAATGTTATTTTAGGTTGTTCTTGCTTAGTAACACGGTGATTTTTTTTTTTTTTTTTAAGGATTAGCGGGAAAAACAACCACCCAAAAGCCAACCGTTTGAATAGCAAATAGAACAGGTTGAATCAAGTATATCTCTACCTGTAAGACACAATCAAAAATGTTATGAATGCTTGTTAGAAGGAAGCAAAAGGGTTTGGAGCGTTCTGAGTTTTTTTAAGCCTTGGGTTGAGGGTGGTTTAATCTCAAAAAAGAAAAGAAAGCTGTTGTTTAGGTAAGCATTCCCAGGCTTGAAAAATAAACCTGTCTTTGGGCAATCAAATGCTCTCCCCCCCCCCCCATTTACACGCTCAGTTGCTTTGTGCAAACTGTTTTGCACAGATGATCCTTTCTCAAGGTTTCTTTCACCGCCCCTGTGAAAGAAACAATTCCCTGTTTTGAAAGATGAAACTTAGCCTGGACTTCCTTCCACAGGATGGTCCTAATCCTAGCGGTGATCCATTAAGTATAAACAAGCTGCTGTCACCTTCTCTCTCTTATTTCACATTGCACAGGTGACCCTCAACTTAACAACCGTCTGTTTAGGGACCGATTCGAAGTTACAGCCGCCCTGAAAAAAGTGACTGGCAGCCAGTAATCCAGTACATAAAAAGTCACAAAACTGGGTGCGATTCATTTAACAACTGCTTTGCTAAGCAATGGAAATTCTGGTCCTAGACTGTTGAGGTCTTAAGTTGAGAATTATCTGTAATAGGTCTCCAATATAATGTTCATACTTTGAGAATTACATTCCTTTGGCTGATTGTTTAAACATTCGAATCAATTCTGGGACTCTTGTAATTCCCACAAGCTTCTTGAGTTCTCTGTTGACACTGAATTATTATTTATTCATGTATTACTCTGGGACTAATGGTGAATTAAACTAGTTTTTTAAAAAAAAAATCCACACACACCCTCTTTTTCTATGGATAAATAACTGCCTACTAATTAGCTCTGCATTTGGTTGGGAACAGTTTGGTAAATTGAATTTCTTCCAGTCACTCCTCTCTGGCCTCTGACTAGCCAAAACTAAAATATTTTGAAGGAGCATTAACAGCGATGGCAGAATATGCCATGTTTTAAGATGGATGAAGGAAAAAATCTACCCTTCCTTTCTAGTTATCTTATGTACCATACCAACCTATTTTGGCTAGTTTGTTCTTATGTAACAGAAACACAGAGAAAATTTGCTGGGCATTTTAACTAGTACTACTTAAATTACCTTGACAAAAAAAAAACCCAACCAAACAAACATTGGCCAGGATAGATGCGAAGAAAGTTGATAAGCTTGGGAGGTGAGAAAGAAATAAAATAAAAGAAAGAGGAAAGAAAAAGAAAAAAGGAAAGAAAGAGAAAGAAAGGAAAGAAAGAAAAGAGAAAAAGGAAAGAAAAACAGGAAAGAGGAAAAAAGGAAGAGGGAGGAAGGCAAAGAAAGAGAGGAAGGATTGATTCAGCTTAGTACACAGAAGTGCAAAAGTGTTCTTTAGTTCATCCATTCATCAAAAAGTCATTATTTCAAAAATACTGTACAGGTAAAATTCTCAGCTTACAACTATTCATTTAGCAATTGAAGTTAAAAAGGGACTTTAAAAAAAGGGAGTTACAGTTGGCCCTTGCACTTAAGACAGCATCCCCACAGTCACATGGTCAAAATTTGGTCCTTTGCCACCGAAGGCTTAAACTAGTCTATGGCTTCAAAATCTAATCTAACAAGCAAGCTACATTTCTTCCTACGTACAAACAACCGGGAACAGACAGGACTGGTTAACAACGCAGGTGTCAGAGGGAAAGAATTGCCGAGCAGCTGGAAAATTGGTTTGGGCAAAGGGAGAGACCCATCTGCTCACATCTCTTGCAGAAACGACAACTGGAGGTTTGCAAAAATAGACCTGGACAACCTTTGACCGGGATGTATAAGGTCTCTTCCAGCCTTAGGATTCTGTTCTAAATCACCTCTCAGGTACATCCAAACAGGCCCTCCGCTATCAATCTGGTCTTCAAAACTTCCCTGGTTTTTGCTTGTTTTTTTTTTGTGAGGATCATGCCATTTTGGACCTTACTGGAAGTCCTACAACTTGAATTTCGAAGCCAGGGAGTGGGTGAATAGGTGATCTCCCCACAAGAAAACAAAAGGGAAACGGGGAATCTCATAGAAATATGGGTGGGGTGGGCTAGGATATTTTAAGATGTTCTTTGAGAGAAGCAAGCTTATTTTAGCTGCAGCTATAGCCCAGGACAAGGGTAGGCAACCTCGGCTCTTTTATGACTTCATGGACTTAGCTGACTTGGGAATTCTGGGAGTTGAAGTCCATGAGTCATAAAAGAGCTGAGGTTGCCTACCCCTGGCCCAGGAGATTACATTTTGGTTGCCAGGAAAAATAATAAGGGCACTCTGTAGATCAGTAATGGTTATAGCTGAAAATGGAGGAAACAGGCATTATTTGCACAAATGCAGCAGACATTTATGGGTTGAATGCAAGAGTCTGACCCTACAGGGGAAAAGTTAGTAGATTGTTACATTCCATGTGGTTCAAATTAACCAAGATAAGAAGGAGATTCTGAATGTCAGCCCCTTAAATTCATCCAAATTTTTGCATTCTCTGCTCCAAGAGCATCTGTCGACATGTACCGGAGATATTTGCAATTTAAAAAAGAAAGATTGACTCCCTCCCCCCCCCCCCGGCTATCAAAGTAAAAAGAGTACAGAGTTGCATATGGAACAACTTAAAACAAAATAAAAATTTAAAAAAACCACGCTCTTTTTCATGTCATGCAATGCAGGATTTTACATACACTTCAGTTTGACAGGTAAAATTTGGCATTTTTTTTTGGTTTATTTTTGAATCTGAGTGAGCGTGAATGAAACAAAGTCAGTTCCAACTTTCTGCAAATGAAGACACAAAAGTTGTGGAGATTTTGGTAATAAGACAGTGCTGGTCACCAAGCCTACACACACAATTAAGGAAATGCAAAGTGTCCATTAAGTTTTTTTTTTTTAAACTTTTAATCGCCTACCAAAGAATGTGTCTAAGAACACTTAAAACAGATGTTTCATACCCCAACTGATAAAGGGAAAAAAAACTGCCTTTTTTTTTCTTCTACTTTTTGAACAGAGGTACTTGGCTGTCAATCTTGTACAGTTTAAAATCAAAAGCTGGAGTGGAGAAGATGGAAGGGGGTACGCAAAAATAATTAAAACCCTGAAATGCTATTTCTACTGCTCTCCAAACATACATTCGTCCCTAAAGATGGCAAAGACCGAACAAGGATTCCAGATTCCTGAAAAATTAAAAGCTGAGCGAGCTATGAAAACGAAGACATGCAAAACAGAATGATGCCTACTTTTTTTGTTTTTCTTCACTGCGGGGTTTTTTTTTCACAGAAACGGGCTGAAATGCTCACTTAAAGCCAGGCATTTTAAAAACTGAGCAGCTGGGGGGGGGGGGAGTCATTGTGTCATGTAACCAAGTTGCATTTTGCCCACCCTAAAACGCAACACTACATTAAACAGGGTAGTTCAGATCTCCGAGGAAAAGAACTTTACCCCCTTAACTTGGAGCAGGGGGTAGCTGGGTTGAATCAACGCTCTCCTGCATCAATATTAATTCTGTGGACAGGTCATTTTTTTTTTTTGGGGTGGACAGGTCATTTTTTTACGGAGAAAGGCCACTGCTCAATTTCACGATGGGTGGGTTATTGCTTAATGGAAATTGTTTACGTTTTGGACGAAGTATCGAGCAAACCAATCTATTATTAAGAGAAAATAAGCTTTGTCATTTGCACAGGGAGAGGTTAAGTCGAAGAGATTTTGTGACTAGGTTTTTTTCGCTTTTCAGAACTAAGTTTTCAAGGATTTCTCCAGTTACGTTTCTCAGCTTGGAAGCGTACAGGACAGGGAGGTGGGTTTGACTGGTTGGTAGATTAATTCTGCTTTGGTACTTCTTGGTCCCATACTTGAAATTCTTGCAAATGGACTGGAGTCCTTCTTTATTCTAGGTAGTCTGCATAGATACTAAAGAATAAAAGCAAAGAGTATTTTTTTAAAAAAAAAAAGGGGGGGGGAGAGAGAGAGAAAATTACACTCCACTATTCCTTTGCTATAAAGAGTATTTGGTGCCAAAAATTTCCTCCTCCTAAACAGAACATAAGCAAATGTGGTACAATTCATTCATGCACACAAATCTTGGAGTTCCCCATTTAATAAAACATTATTGTAACAACTTCAGCCAGATTTACAAAAAGATCAGGGTTCGGTTCTGGTGTACGTGTGGCAGATTTGTTACGTGACAAAACTGAAGTTGAGAGAAACTTGGACCCATGTCCACGGAACACAGTGCAACTTTTAAGACACGGAAAAGGGAAAACAAACAGCTCATTTTTCCCCCCCAAATGTCTTTCTGTTTTTTTTTTCCTTTTGGGCTAAGAAATTAAGCAGGTGTGGTTTTGCTTTCTTTTGTCTTGGGGGGGGGGAGAGGGAGGGAGGAGGGAATGATAAGGGGCAACCCCAAAAATGGGGGAGAAAAAAATGAGAATTGCAAAGGAAAATTAAGAAATAACAGCCACGACCTTCTGAATTTTAAGGGCAAGTTATAAGACTTTTTTTGGTTTTTTTTTTCTGATAAATTGTGACGAGGAGAAAGAAAAAGAAAAAAAAAAGAAACAGCATTCTTTAAAGTACATTAAAGCAGTGATTTTAAACAAAGAAAGCAGAACTAGAACATCTTAAATTTTTAATCCTTTCTTTACAGATTACCTAGACCACGTTTGATTAAGAAACGGTAGAAAGTTAGTTAACAGCCACAAGTTAACACCGAGAGGTGACACTTGTCAATTTCCATAGAGAGTCCTGCTTTTGTGGGTGTGTCTGAAATGCATTCTTCAGCTCTTCTATCACACATTGCTGACATCAACTCGGTCAGGTGTTGGTTTTTTGTTGTTGTTGTTTTGTTTTTTTGTTGTGTTGTTTTTGTTTTTTGTTTTTTTTAGTCCACTGGTCGTTTTTCACCATATTTCTTTGTAAACTCTTCAGCATTCTTACAGAATTTTTTACGGTCCTTAGAATACTCTTCGGCTAAGTCAGCTCGAAGGGGGTGTTCGGGTTGGGGGTCGTTCACCAGTGCTATGAGGGACTGGATTACTGTCGGAAGAAAAAGGGGGGGGGAAAAGGGAAGGAAGAAAGAGAGGGAAAGAAGGAAGGAAGGAGAAAAAGAGAGATCAGTGTGGTTGTGGAAGAGACCGCCGATTCGCTAAGGACAGATCCCAAGGCTGTGGATTCATTGATTGGTCTAGATTATCCAATTTATTTGCCACCTGTCTGGCAGTCCAGGCGATTCTGAGCAGATGGACCTCAAATCCTTGGGAATGGTAGTACTTAAGTCCTCCAGACCTGTTTTCCAAATTCTATTTTTTAATGAAAGAGGAACGGGGAAAGTTTGCAATGCATGTATTGAACACACGACCGAAAAGCCCATCGTGTAAGCGATCGTGTTTAAATCTGAATTGAATGCCCACCGGAAATGAAAGCGTTCGCACTAATTGCTGCTTTTTAGGCTCTGGGTCAACTTTCTCCTTAAAGATTGAGTGCAGCCTACAAGCCAAGCTTTGGCCACGGCTGGCTAAATAAACCACAATTGACTGGGTTTGATGGGACGTGCTAAAAGCAACATGGGACAGCTACGTTACATCCGGAGCCGTTACATGTGACAATCATCACTGGTTTATTTGATTAACCGGGTCAGCCACCGTACCGGTGGTATATTCAGATTTATGAATGGAGGGACTGCTCGGTGTGTGCAAAATAATGGGTGTGTAAAGCTTTTCCTTTCCTGAAACAAAGAGAGAAACTCTTCTGAGACCACACTCAAGTACACGTGCAAATAAAGACTGCTGGATGAGGAAAATCAAGCTCCTTTTGGATTATTAGAGTGGCTGAAAGAGGACTAAACCACCTTACAGCCACCTAGCTGGGGTTTTATTCAAGAGATGGGATGAGTAAGATTGATCGTACAAGCCTTGAATATTAGACAAATCGTTTTCGGATGTCGCTGCCCGGAAATCTCTCTCTCCTTTTTGTTTTTATCCTTTGCAATCAATTTAAATTTTAAACTAAGATAGGGAGGGAAGAACGAGAAAAACCAAGAACTCCTTCGCGCTCAAAGAGGATCCCATGAAAGATTTAGATGGCCCAGCATGCTTCTGCTCGGAGATCCAGGATGGAGAGCCCCTTCCCAAAGTGAGATTTAGTATGGCAAATCAACTGCTGGCGGTCTCTTACCTTGATCAGTTTTAGTGGCCGGTTTCCAGTTTTCAGCACTGATTACTGGCAGACAAACCTGTCCCTTTTCATCAATGTTAGGATGGTAGATCTTTGTTTTAAAGGTGATCTTGGGAGGTTTGAATGGGTACTCTGCAGGGAAGTTGATTTCAATTCTGAACGCACCCTTGTCGTATGGAGGATTGTCCTACGGAGAGCAACACAGAAGGTATGAAAAGCAGCCCCAGGCAGGAAGAGAATGAACTCAGAGGAAAGCTGAACGGAGAGGAGGAAGAAGGGCTGGATATGCAGGCAGTCCTCGGCTTGTAACCGTTCTTTTAGTGGCCGTTTGAGGTTACAACATCACTGAAAATGCACAACCGTTTATCACACGACCTTTGAAGCATCCCCATGGTCACGTGATCAAGCTTCAGATGCTCGGCAACTGGCGTGTACTTATGACAGTTGTAACGTCCCGGGGGTCACGTGATCCCTTCTGACCAGCCAAGTCAACGGGGAAGCCAGCTTCACGCAAACGTTGCGAGAAAGGTTGTAAAATGGGGCACAAGTCACTTAACCAATGTTTCGTTTAGCGACGTACGTTTTGGGCTCAGCTGTGGTTGTAAGTCAAGGATTACCTGTAGGAGATCCATCGCTTAAAAATAAAGTTTTTAAACATTCTTTTAAAAGGGTGCTTGCAGTGCCTTAGGAGAATAGGTTGAGAATGAAGGAAACAGAAAAACAAGAGACAAACTTTGGTGGGTTTGTGTTACTATTAGTGGTATGTTTTTAGACCTAAATCTAGTCTTTTCAAAACCATCCTCATTGGCTCTTAAGTCTCTCTTCCCTGCTTCCCCCCCCCCCCATTTTTAGCAATGTGACTCACTTTATTATTATTTTTTAAAAAACTGATTTTTTTAAAAACGCACAGATTGCAATCTTTATCAGCAGGACCCAGTTTGTTTGATGCAATCTCCTGAAAAGATGGGAGGGTGGGTGTCTTAACTCTGGGCTTTTTTATATTGTTTCTCTTGTTTTTATTGTTGTCTATTTTGTTTTGTTCTTGGGTGGTAAGAGTTCTGGCTTTGAGATGGGTGCCTGTACAACTATTTTAAATAAAATAAAAGCTTGTCTGTGCTACGTTTTCCCCACAAAGGAGTGTTCACACCCATGCGGATTGAATACGATTTACAGAATTGTTTTACAGAAGACAGAACGATTATGAATGCACCGATAAAAGCTGCAGGAAGGATTATCTTGTAATTGTAGCATTTGGGCACAACAGTTGAAGACTATTAATCTTTCAGCAGTGACTTGTTAAAAAGAAATGAAAGCCACCCACAACAGAACTGCAAGATACAACTGGACAATTTTTTTTTTTTTAAAAAAAGTACCTCTATTCAAAGATATGTTTAGTGTATGAATGGAGAATATTCTCTCCTGCATTCTGGGAGTGTAACACATTCAAGATTTGGGGTGTGCGGGGGTAAGCCTGGGGGAATGGAGATAAATGTGTTTGTGTGGAAAAAAGAGACAGGAAATATATCCTTCAGAATTATTATTATTATTTAATATATTGTAAAAAGTGATGGCTATTGCTGGTCTACGACCGTAATAAAGTTTATTATTATTATTATCCTTCAGAATAAATTACTCACTCACGGACACAACTTTTGAAGACAGGCAGTCCTTGACTTACGACAACTTGAGGCCAGTACTTGGGTCGCTAAGTGAAACATTAATAAGTGAATTTGTCCCAGTTCATGACCTTTCTTGCCACAATTGTTAAGTGGATCACTACAGCTGTTAAACTAGTCAAACTGTTGTTAAGTGAAACTGGCTACCCCCCCACTGACTTCACTTGTCAGACGGTCGCAAAAGGGGATCACGTGACACCCCCCCCCCGGGGACGCTGCAACTGTCACAAAGACGAGTCAGTTGCCAAGCGTCTGAATTTGGATCACGTGACCTGGGGATGCTACGACGGCCGTTAAGTGTGAAAACTGGTCATAAGCCGCTTCTTCCAGTGCCGTGGTAACTTGGAACGGTCACTAAATGAACTCCTGGAAGTCAGGGGCTACCTTTATTTAGGAGTTAAAAGAGGGTCCAGGTTTGGTGCATTGAAAGTGGTCCTTAGATGACACCCAAGATTGCAGGTGAGACTGGACAGCCCTTTGTCTGAAATGGGATAGGGTTTCCTGCCTGAGCAGGGGGTTGGACTAGATGACCGCCAAGGTCCCTTCCAACTTTACTATTATTATTATTATACCCCCTGCCCTCAGGTGCCTTTTGAGTTCCACCTGAAGGGCAAAGATCAAATCTTTCAGTTGCTCACGGATGGTCTCTTGGTTCAACACCAAGAAGGTTGTGTGCTGCGATGTGTGACGTAGATTAGGAGTTTCAGTTTATCTTTCTTTGTCCTAGGGGCCTCCTATTAGTATCATGTTGCCCCTCCAGCCTCACAGCCTTGATTTGTACTCTGACAAAACCACTCTGGCCTTTATCAGAAAGAAATCAAAGCCTTTATTAAATAAAATAATAATAATAAAAAACTCTTAGGGAGTGAAAGGAGCCAGAGCTGAGAGTTCTGTTTTTTTCCTATCAAATAACAGCTTGAAACTTTGCTCACTTATTTGAAATTTCCTTCTTTGTTTTAACAGCACTGGAATTTGATCGGGTCGCTTGCTTGCAAGGAGGCAAGAAAAAAAAAAAGGAACTCCACGACAACTGTGGCTGTCACTTCTCCCAAGAGACACAAAGCTTGAAATAAATAAGGGCTTTAAATTTATAGGGGGCAGGTCTTGAGGCCTGGAAATTAGCTATCCGGCCATGCAGCCAGTCCTCATGTCCACGGGGCTTTTACCATTTGGAAAAGCGACTCTCGGGGGCCATCAAGGAAGTCACTTTTGAAACCAAGAATTACAAGTTGGTAGTCCTCAACGTACGGCCGCCATTGAGCCCACATTTTCTGTTGGTAAACGAAACAGTTTGTTAAGTGGCTGGTGCTGCATTTTATGATCTTTTTTGTTGTTAAGTGAATTACTGCAAGTATTAAAGGAGTCATACGGTCATTAAGTGAAAAGGTTACAAAGGGTGATCATAAATACATGCCAATTGCCGAGGGGCCAAATTCTGATCACGTGATGCGGTAACGGCCCTAAGTCATTTTTCGGGGGTGCTGTCACTTTAAAATGGCCACTAAATGAATGGCTGTAAGTCAAGGACTACCTCAAGAGAGCATTTCCTGTTCCTGCCCAAAACCTGTGGGATGTGAGGGGCAGATATAAATCAAATTCTGTGCTAGGGAATGAAATCTAAATTTTCTTGACATAAATTGTACGTAGGTTCTGTGTAGGTTTCACATACCTACATTATTACACTGAAAGCTGGGATTCTCAGAGAGTGCTAGAAATAAAACCACATCACAGTCTCCTTAGTTGCTATTTTGGCTGGCTATTCCAAGGCCCACTTTGAAGTTTGTAAGAGTTATGGTGTGCTTTTCCTCACTTTCATTTTTCCTTCGCATCCATTTTTTTTCCCCTTTGCTTTTGTGTCTGGTGAACTGCACAATAATGGGACTTCCTTTGGGACGGTTTTTTTTAAATTTTTCTAACCACTGCACAATTATTTAGAGGTTTAAGGGCTTTATAAATTATAAATACTATTTTTACGCAGAGATGGAGGGCAGCTAATTGAATTATTTGGGTGGCATTCCTCCGAAACCTGCATGGAAATATATATATATATATATATATATATATGTATTTTTCTTAACTCTGGAAAATCCATAGATTTGCCTCCACCAGTTCTGCAAGGACCAACGTTAAATGTTTCAGGCTATTTAGGAAAATGAAGAGCCCTGGTGCATTTGAACAATTACAAGAGGTTTCTTTCACACTCACGGGAACGATAAGCCCTTGCCAAGTCAATAAGTTAGCTTCATCAACTTGGATATTACGGAAGTTCTTCATTCCACATTTGCGGATTTCTTCAAGCTCCTACACGCCAAGCAGAGCAGAAAAGAAAAAAAAAAATCATATTAAACCACATCAGCCAAAACAATCGGTTGTAATATTCAGGAAAACATGCATGTTGTTTTTAACTTTCATGCTGTCTGAGTTGAAATCCAACAGTCTCACAGTTGATCTTCTCCCCTTTTTCTTCCTTTTGTTATATTATAATTTTAGTACAAAGAGATAATGGGGGGGGGGAAATAGCTAAAATTGGGAACAACTTGGAAAAGGCACCATTCCTGTTTGACTTTCACAGAGAATTCAGACTTAATACCAGCCAGCATTCTGGCGCGATGTTATACAGTTAGTCCTCCACATATGACTACAATTATGTTGTTAAGCAAGACATTTAAGTGAGTTTTGTCCAGTTTTACGACTGTTCTTGCCCCATTTGTGAATCACTGCAAGTGTTAAATTAGTAGTGCGGTTGTTAAGAGAGTCTGGCTCCCCCCCCTTGACTTTGCTCGTCAGACGGTCGCAAAAGGGGATCACGTGACCCTGGGGACACTGCAACCGTCATAAGTACATGCCAGTTGCAAAGCCTCTGAATTTTGACCATGGGGGGTGGGGCGAAATGGTCGTAAATGTGAAAAATGGCTGCGAGTCACTTTTTTCAGCGCCGTCGTAACTTTGAACCGTCACTAAATGAACTGTTGTAAGTTGAGGACTTGCTGCAGTTACTATCCACACACAAGCAGTAGACTTCAGCCCCTTATCCCGGAAGAGAGAGGAACGCTCCACAATTTAATAAGTCTCAAAAAAAAACCAACCCTCCTGACAGATATTTCCCCAAAATAAAATAAAATAAAATATATATAGACAACCCCACCGAGGCAGAAAATCCTGCTATTGTTCTATTATTATTCTATTATTATTCTATTATTATTCTATTATTATTCTATTACTATTCTATTCTATTCTATTCCTATTCTCCAGAGCATCTGAAGACAGACAAAAATAACAGATGGAAGCTGATCAAGGTGAGAAGCAACCTGGAATTAAGGAGAAACTTCCTGACAATGAGGACAATTAACCAGTGGAACTTCTTGCCTCCAGAAATCGTGGGCGCTCCATCACTGGAGGTTTTTGAGAAGAGACTGGACAGTCCCTTGTCTGAGATGGTAAAGGTTCTCCTGCTTGAGCAAGGGGCTGGACTAGAAGACCTCCAAGGACCCTTCCAGCTCTATTCTATTCTACCTTCAAGGACCCTTCCAACTCTGTTATTCAGATTATATTATTTTCCATCACATATCGCATTGAATAGCCTGAAAGGAGCAGCAGATAGAAAGATAGTACCATTCCCTACAATTGCAGGCAACGTAAAGCCAGTCAACTTGGCCGTAACTACAAACGAAAAAAACATTTTAAACAGGAGGAAAAAAATAGAGGAAATTCACCCAAATAGAGTTATGACCTTATCTAGTAAAAAAAAACCCTCTCCTTATAGATTCAGCAAATTAGCATGTGACAGCCCTCACATCCTAAGAAAAAGGAGAGAAAGAAACCCATAGCTCGGGGGAAGAAAGACTGGTTTTTTGTTTTGTTTTTTCAAATTGAGATCAGCACTCCTATCCCAATATTGATATAGCTAGCAAAGGCTCAACAGAGTAACAAAAGCTTGAAAAGGAAACGTCAAGAATAACACACAAAGAAGATGTTGATTGTTGTTGATTACTCGGTTACAAAGATAACTACTTTGCCTAGGACACACATTCAAACAGATGGATGTCCCTGATGACACGTACATGGATCAACAAAACCCCTTGCAAAACGTTGGTTTCCACAGGTTAGTGGCTGGTGCCACAATAGTTTGTGTTACATTGGGGCACTCTCTCACAGTCCCTCTCTCTCGCCCCAACATGCTTCACGAAGTTGGGAGGAGGAAGGTGTGTGCTGGATATGTTCACCCCCTTGAGTTATTTGTAAACAAATAAAAATAAATAAAAATAAATCTTTGTTCACTCCCAGCAAGTAATTAAAGTCACTCCAACACACAAGGATAAAGGTAGGATGATAGACTGTGATATGGCCAATAATGGAACTGCCAATCGGTAATAAATTTTAATGCAACAGAAGCATAAATGGAAGGCATGATATCAAATTTAGGAGAATCACCCCTTTTTTTATCAGAGCAACTCCATCCGAGATGGACTTTCCAACTGACAATTCTAACCTTCAAAGTGGTCTTCAGGTCAAGAGAAGATCATTTACAATATAAACATATAAACAAACTTACTCTGTATAAACCTGAGCATTAATTTATTCTATTTGTAAGGTTAAAAAAAGACCAGAGCAACCAATAAAATGTCAGTTAAATCAATAAACTTGAATTAGTCTATGCTGTTGAGAACAGGACAAGATGAGAACTTATCAAGGAGAGAAGCAACCCAGAACTAAGGAGAAATTTCCTGACAATGAGAACAATTAGTCAGCGGAACAGCTTGCCTCAAGTTGTGGGTGCTCCAACACTGGAGAATTTTAAGAAGAGACTGCACAGCCATTTGTCTGAAATGGTATAGGGTCTCCTGCTTGAGCAGGGGGTTGGACTAGGTGACCTCCAAGGTCCCTTCCAATTCTTATTCTCTAATTCTGTTTTAAGCGTGGGTCACAAACATCACCATCGTGAATTCATGATTTGGTGAAGCCAAATCTTCAGATCTGGCTGGAGCAGGAGGCACCCACAAAATACATATAGTAATATGGATATAATTAGGTATGGCTATTAATTTTACTACTAACAAGAATAGAAATTTCTCATGAGGGATTGGACATACAGCGTACAAATCTTGGTTTGGTTTCATGGGTGTGTGCCTGATGCATTCAGCTTATGCAGGAGGTCAGCCGAGTAAATGTTTGACAATTCAGTTGTGCAGGCAAACACTAATAAACCAGCTTGCTGCTTCCTCGTCTTTAAGGCAGAATTTCAAAGCCAAACTAGAGTAACCCTTTAGCCAAACTAGAGTAACCCTTTCAAACCATCTGGAATGCTCCAAATTCAAGAAGTGAAAAAACAAAAACAAAACAGAGATCTTAAAACTTAGTCACTAGGCTAAGTTCAGCAATCAGGAATTTCCCAAGGAGCTGGTGGCATCACCCTGGCAGTATTAAAGACGATGTCGTAATACGTTGCTCGCAAAGCTTTAGGAGTGTGTCACCGTTTACTGATCATATCCAGCGTTCCATACCTTGCACTTTTTTCTGTACAAGTTTACACAGAGTTTCATCAAAACACAAGCCAATTATCTTGCTTCTTTTAGAAACTGAAATAAAAAAGAAAATGCCACAGGATAGTCATATATCACAAGACTCATGAGAGAAGCTGTGACCTTGGCTGGGGATGAATTCTCCCAGAATGACTGTCACAAGAAATCTCTCCTGAGTCACGGTTAAGCACCCATTGGGCTCTTCCCACTAGTGATGACTGTGATCAGGAATAAACCAGCATTATATCAGACTCTTACCTTTTTGTGGCTCTAAAGGCAACAACCATTAGCCACCTTCAAACCCTGGGGCATCTCTGACAGTCCTCACCTTATAACAGCTCGGTGACCGTTCCAAGTTACAAGGGCACTGAAAGAAAAGTGACTTAGGACCGTCTTGCACCCTTACAACTGTTGCCTGCGTCCCCTAAGGTCATGTGATCAAAATTCAGATGCTTAGCAACTGGCGTGTACTTACGACGGTTGCAGTGTCCTGGAGTCATGTCAACCACCCCAATTTGTGACCGTCTGACAAGCCAAGCCAATGGGAAAGCCGGATTGACTGAACAACCGTGTTATTAACTTAACTTACGCAGTGATTCGCTTCACCACCCTGCAGGAAAAGTCACAAAACAGGGCAAAACCCACTCAGCAGCTGCCTTGCTTAGCCATGGAAACGTGGTCGTAAGCCGAGGATTACCTGCATGGTGTGTCAAAGAGTTTTTCCCGTTTTAATCCAGCACTAGAAATGCAAATCCTTATAAGAAAGAACCTTAACGTCGATCATTTAAAACCTCTGGGAGGCATCTGAGTTTCCTCTTTATTGTCCTTTTGCGAGGGGAAGGATTTTATTCATGTAGGGTTTTTTTTTTTTTTGAAATGGAAACAGATTTTGACTGCTGTGACGCCAAAAAGGGCTGATTGCTCATGTTTCTTTTTTTTTTAAAAAAAAAAAAACAAGGTTACATTTTATGTTGTTGACTGTATTAAATAACAATTTTAAAAAAAAACAGAATAAAAGCTCAAAATACAGTCACTTGGTTTGTCATCGATTTCTAACACTGAAGCAGGCATAAGGATTTCAGAGAGCAGTTGTTAAAATGCAAACGAATGACCTCAGCACCAGGTAACATCAATTTCCTAGCTCCAGTGTTCCTGTTAGGAAAATTAAATAAGTGCAATCTTTAGGAAACATTGCCTGCACTCTCTAAAGGATGCTTCTCTTATTATTTGGAATGCTTTTTACGGATTTCTGCCCTCCGTTTCGATATGGAAAAGTTTTAAAAATATTTTGCCTTTGGATGTGGCATGGACTGGGAATTTCTGATCACACGGATTACTGGTAGATTGCACAGCCTGCTTCATTCCTGGTTGACTAACCACGATATCTAGGCTTATATGTCTGCTAGAGTGTCTCCCATCTGCAATTCCTGCCAAAAAGAGGCTGGCTTTTAATAACAAGGTTAAGGAACTTCTACTTTATCATTAATTCCATCACTTTCTGTTCTCCATATACAAAGTGAGCTCAAAATCACCCATAAGAATAACTATTTCAGAGCGTGCTTCTTTCAAAAAGAGAAATATTTCAAGTTAAGTACATCATTTAAGTAGGGAATTGGGAATAACCTCTAACTCTGGATTTACTGGGTAATTCTGGCTGGTAACCTTCTCTCGGCCCACTGTGATCTTACAGTGTTGCCACTGTGAGGCTAAAATGATGAGTAATAATGCAGGTAACGTGAGATATAAATGTGATAAAAGTAAATAAAACTTCATTTAGGCATCTGTATGTAAATGAGTGTGGGTGGGGGAAAGGATAAGCTGCAGAATTACCATTCTGAATGTATCTTCACTTTATGAGAGGATCCCAAACTTTTATAGCACACATTCTTCTTTGTGGCATTAAAAAAAAAAAACCCATCACAAGTTCAAGAACAGGAATACAAGCCAGGTCTGTATTAAAACAGGTCCCTATAAAGTGAGCCAAGGATTCAGAAACATCCCAGAGGTTTTGATCATCCTGTAAACTCTGTCTGAAATTAATATTAACGTAAGACAGGCTTAAATTACAGAACTAATGAGCAATCAGCTCTTTAATATCCTGTGCTACTGGAGGACGCAAAGATTAAAGGGAGGGTTTAAAAAACAAACAAAAACCCTCCATTCAATTAGTCTACAATTCACAGATATTATTAAATCGACAATTGCACCAAAAGAAGGCCAGAGAGGAACACTCCTTCACTTAGCTCACAGAATTTTAATATTCAGTTTCATTTTCAGTTAGATAAATACAACAGGGGGCTGCTTCCTTTGTGCTAGCAAAAGAAAAAAGAAAAGATACGCCTGCAATAAACGAGGCAACACAAACTCAGTTAATAAATGAACCTACAAACTGTATTACATTAACATCCAAAACCTAGTTACTCAGTGTGTGGGGGGGTCTACTATCCTATGTTATAGGACTATAGGTTATTGGGGGGGGGTCCCATATCCTCTGATATTCTGTGAGATAAGCAAACAATGTTTGATTTGTTTATGCCTCTGTATCCCACCGTTATTATTTTTATAAACAGCTCAAGGCAGCAAGCATAACTCCTTCTGCCGCCAAGTGAGACAGTTGTTAAGTCAGCATTGCCCCATTTTATGACCTTTCCTGCCACAGATGTTAAGTGAATCACTGCAGTTATTAAATTATGACGGTTGTTAAATTAATCTGGCTTCCCCATTGACTTGGCTTGTCGGAAAAGGGGATCACATGATCCCAGGGCACTGCAACCGTCATAAATGTGAGTCAGTTGCCAAGCATTCGAATCCTGATCACACGAAACGGGGATGCTACAACAGTAGTAAATATGAAAAACAGTCATAAATAATTTTTTTTTCAGGCCGTTGTAACTTCGAGCAGTCACTAAACTGTTGTAAGTTGAGGACTACCTGTATTAACTATAAACATGCAAGTGAATAAAGTGTTAAAAACAGAAAGAGCCAAACTCCTTAAGGAAATTACTACTTTTGCTACTAACTGTAAGGATATGACTTTGACATACGCGTGTCTAAACAAGCAATTACAATAAAGTACAGAGTACATGACAAAATTAATAATATCGACTATTATTTGCAAAATCAGATTTCCCTTTCTCCAAGTTTACAGAAGCACCAACCAGGACCACTCTGTAAGTGGATGAATATGGGAGAAATGTTCAATCTCAGGCAGGATCTGGAGAATTATATCCAATTAGTGACATCATTACTTAAAGTCCAAGTATTTCTTGAATTCTTCTAACTAAATCTTGTTCATGGAGTTTAAAACGTTAAGAGGTTTATCCCAAATCTAAAATCGTATGTAAAAATATATTAAGAAAGAGAGATTTAAGCCTTCTACAACAAAAAGGTCAATCAAAGTGTGGTAGCCAACTTCACAACTCTCTTGTTACGATGCAATGCTAGCAAAAGCGTTACCTGAAATATATATATATATATATTTGTATATACCTATTAACAGCAAGGAATATACGATAAAAAGTTTGTTTGAAGAGCAACTTCTAATCTAGATATTTTAAGAGCCATGAACAAAATTTACAATACAGCAACAGCTTGGTTGCAAAGTATCTTCCCATTTCCCAAACCTCACACGCTAGACAGGATGAAGTTAGAAAGTGAAAACAGAAAGTAGATAGCCTGCTATAAAAAGAATGAAAAAGAAACTGCATCTCAAATTCATTTAGGTGATGCCTAAGCAAATTTCTTCCTACCTTACTGACATTGACAGGGTTTACGCTGTTGTTGTGTTATCTGGAAATAAACCTCACTGGATTATTTAACACAAATGTGTACAGATTTTAACATGTGTAAATCCCATTCACCGCAGTGTAGTGTTATGTCTATATGACTTGCAGTTCTTCCCTGCCAGCTTATTATTTTTAAGATCCAAATGGACCACTTTGTTGCCTCTATTCTGCCAAATCTGTTCTTATGAATTTTCCACTTTACACAATCCAGGATAAACGCAATCTTTTTACACTGTTTTCCTGTGGCTGAACAAAGCAACTTCAGGGACCTGAAAGTTTTAGGATGCCCACATTACATAAATTAAGACCAAGCACAATAGCATTAAGCAGGGCAGTTAAGGATACATTCCCATAACAAGTTAATTGTACATAGCCTTAACCTTAGTTTAGGAGACTTTTGGGGGGGGGGTGTGATTTAGCATGCTGTGTGAAGCAGACGATTTGCTTATGGTGTAATTCCATTTATTATCTGATCCTAGAAAATAGATTATTTAAATTTAAGAAAAGCTTTGAGGAGCTGAGGATGGGGGAAGGTGACCCCCCCACACTCATCCCATACAGAGACTGTGTTTTTGTAAACAGACTTCAGCTGACATCTAAATTTGGGGATGCTTTCTCACAACGTGCTAAATAAACTGTTTTAATTTTAACCCAGATTTCTGTTTCTGGGTGGTTCAGCAAGATCCATCAGATGCAGCAGTACATTGATTTGTTCACTACCTTGTAAAAGTCTCCAAGGGGAGGGGGGAATCTATAATCAAGCCAGGCATTGAAGAAAGAGACCTTTAATCAATTTATCAACCCCCTTTATTATTAGAGTCAGAAAAAGACCTTAACCCAGAAACCCTTAAAGTACTCCAGCAAACCAGGAGTCCTTCTTGAGCTTGTGTTGTTTTCTTGTAGACTTTTTGTTACCCAACTAGGAAGCATCATCACTGCTAAAGGGGTGTGGGGTTTGCAAATGTGGTGGTGGAGGGACGACTGTGGAGTCCTTGGTGCTCTCTGAGATTTGTTTCCTTGCAGATGTTTTGTTAGTCAACTAGGTAATCCCACAATCTTCCTTTTCCTCTCCTCCTCCTCCTCTCAGCAAACCCCTCTCCCTGCTAGCCCTGATGATGTTACCTAGTTTGGGTAATGAAACGTCTGCAAGAAAACAAACAAGCTCAGAGAGTACCTAGGACCCCATAGTCAGTCAGTCCTTCCTTCCTTCCTTCCTTCATCCCTCCCTCCCCTACACAAATCTCACTCTCTCTTAGCACTGATGATGTTACCTAGTTTGGGTTATGAAATGTCTGCAAGAAAACAAGTAAACTCAGAGAGCACCTAGGATCTCATAGTCCTTCCTTCCTTCCTTCCTTCCCTCCCTCCCTCCCTCCCCTCCATAAATTCCACTCCCTTCTAGCACTGATGATGTTACCTAATTGGGTAATGAAACGTCTCCATAAGCTCGGAGGGCACCAAGGACCCCTCAGTTAGTCAGTGGCCTTTCCTTCCATCCATTGACTAGTTTCTCCCTCCATGAATCAGAGCCTTGGATAAAAATCCCTCCTTCCTTCCTTCTCTCCACAAACCCCCACTCCCTTCTGGCCCTGAGGACGTTACCCCATTGGGCCATGAAACGTCAGACAACCACATCAACCAGAGGATCTCCTGGTGGTTCCCTTTCCCCTCCCCACAGAGGGAGGGAGGGAAGCCCCTTCAAGCAACTGGAGCCCAGGAAGGACCTTCGGGCTGTGTGTCCCGGGTGTGTGTGAGGGCTGGGGAGAGGCAGCTTCCCCCTCGATCCGCGGCGCCCCCACTTCGCCCAGAGCCGCTTTCGTAACGTCAGAAGGCGCCGCCGCCCATCCGAAGCCGCGGGGGGGGGGAAAGAGGAAGAGGAGGGCAGGAGTGAGGAGACGCCCCTCCCTCCCTTTCTCTCCCCCCCGCCCCATTTCTGCCCCCTCCTCTTGGCTGAGGTGCCCCCCCGCCCCGCTTTGCTTAGTCACCCGGCGGGACCCCCCCCCAGCCGCCGCCGGGTACGAAGCGCAGGCCGCCCCCCCTCCCCCGCTTAGGCGGCGGGACCCCCCCCCGGCCATCGAGGCGGCGCGACCCCGGCAGGGGCGGCGGCGCGCTCGGGCCTGCTCGCCTCCCCCCCTCAGGCACCGGCGGGGCGGAAGCGCGGCCCCGGCACCGGCGCGGCCCCGAGGGCGAGCCGGGCCCGAAAGCGAGGAGGAGCCCGCCGCCCTCCGGCCCGCCCGCTCGGCTGCCCGCCCGCTCGCCCACCCACCCCGGCCGGCCCGCGCCCCGCCCGCCCGCCCACGGCCCTGCCCGGCGGCCCGGCCTGGATGTTACCTTCATCAGCCTCCTGCTGGCCGCCATCTTGGATCTGCTGCCGCTGCCCCACAATGCATCGCGGCGGCGGCGGCGCTTCCTGGAAGGCCGGGCGGGCGGGCGCGAGAAGCGGGGTGCTGGCCAGCGCGGGGCGAGTCTGCTGGGAGGGCTGTCGGGAGGGCGGAAATCAGAGGAGGAGGAGGAGGGTGAGGAAGAAGAAGAAGAAAGAAAGGGAGGAGGAAGAGGGTGGAGGAGAAGAAAAAGGAAGAGGAAGAAGGTGAAGAAGCAAGGGAGGAGGAAGAGGCCGGTGGTGGAGGAGGAAGGTGAAGAAGAAGAAGAAGAAGAAGAAGAAGAAGAAGAAGAAGAAGAAGAAGAAGAAGAAGAAGAAGAAGAAGAAGAAGAAGAAGAAGAAGAAGAAGAAGAAGAAAGAGAGGAGAAAGAGGGTGGAGGAGAAGAAAAGGAGGAAGAAGAGGGTGGAGAAGAAAAAGGAAGAGGTAATGAAAAGGAAGAATGTAGAGAATGATGAGAAAGAAAATAAAGATGAAAGTGAAATTATTGATTCAATTATTCCTCCAGTATTTTAAAAGTGAACTGTTGTTTTCCAGTCTTCTGAAACTGGTGCCTTTTCCCTGTTGGCTTTCTGATTGCGTTAGATTTGATTTGATTTGGTGCCCTCATCTGATTATATCTCCAATTAATTTAGAACATTTTTTAAAAAGTGCATTTGATCAGCCCTGTAAAACTAAACCCCAAAAGCAGGCATATTCTCCTTTGCGTGATGGACTGAGGCTGTTTTTTAAAATAACAAATTGCCTAAGAGTATGCTCTTTTTAATTGTTCTGGATGGCTTCGTATACAATATGTAGAAACATAGGATGTAAACGGAAATATAAGTAGATCAGCAAATTCCTAAGGCTCAGCTCTGGCTGATAAAGGTTTGTTTGTTTTGATTTTGATGTGTATTTTCTTACCGGCTGCTTTTAGATGCTTAAAAATACAACTCTTGTGTATTGATAGGAGAGTTGTGGGCAAGGATGACATCAGTGCTTTCTTACTTAGCCCGTGTAAGATTTTGAAACCATTAATAATCTATGTAACCTATTTTGCAGACTAGCTTAAATTAGCCAGTGAAGCAAAAATAACGGATGGGGTTTTTGATTATGCAAGAAAGATGCACGTTGCTTTTCCCGGCACAGACAATTCACGTGGCATTCTTTCTGGAGTAGAACGACAGGGTATAGATGAAATAAATAAATTAGAAATTAAAAACCAAAGAAGCACAGACTGGCCACAGCAGACCCTGGGAAGCTGCAACCGTCGTAAATACACGTAGATTGCCCAATTTTAATCATGTGATGTGGGAATGGTACCACAGTCAGTAAGCGACTGTTTTCAGTGCCCTTTGCAACTTCAAATGATCACTAAACAAATGGTGGTGAGTCAAAGACTGCATATATTGTTTGAGTCAGCCAAATTAAAAAGTGCCTTTAAATTCCCAGGATCTTAAGGGCTGCTTTGATAAATGTTTCAACGGTATGTGGTGCCTTTACTTTCCTAAGTAATGCTCATGTGTGCCACTGGATGGCAGAAAACCCTAAAAAATAATTTGGGGATGCTTTCTTTTACAACGGGAGCTATGTTTTTCCTCTAAGATAACAATAACAGAGTTGGGAGTGACCTTGGAGGTCATCTAGTCCAACCCCCTGCTCAGGCAGGAAACCCTATACCATTTCGGACAAATGGCTGTCCAGTCTCTTCTTAAAAACTTCCAGTGTTGGAGCATTCACCGCTTCTGGAGGCAGGTTGTTCCACTGGTCAGAAAGTTTCTCCTTAGTTCCTGGTTGCTTCTCTCCTTGATTAGTTTCCATCCGTTGCTTCTTGTCCTCCCTTCAGGTGCTTTGGAGAATAAGTTGACTTTTTTCCCATGACTTTGAAGAGTCACTAAATTAACCTAAGTTGAGGGCTTCTTTTACCTCACACATACAACGGCGAAGTAATTAATTGAAGTGAGCCAGGGGAAATTTGTATTTCCTGGACGATGTTGACATTTGTAGTGGTTAAGTGACCTCAAAAAGATCATCTTCAACAGTAGAACCTGCCTCCATGTTCTTTTCTAGTTTCCCACCACAGTAGTCGGACTCAAGGAAGACATCTCGATGGCATCTGTCCGTCAGGATTTTCTCAAATTGAGAAGGGTGCAGGGAACTGGACCGAGAGAAATCAAATATTTCTGGTCTTGCTTGCTGAAAACAAACAGGATGTTTTTGTCTGGATTAGAACTGAGAATTGGGTATGTCTAGCCTAGTGGAAAGAAGGACTAGGGGTGACAGGATAGCAGTGTTCCAATATTTGAGGGGTTGCCACAAAGAAGGAGGGGGTCAGCCTATTCTCCAAAACATCTGAAGGCAGGACAAGAAACAATGGATGGAAAATAATCAAGGAAAGATCAAACCTAGAATTAAGGTGACATTTCCTGACAGTGAGAACAATCAGTGGAACACTTGCCTCCAGAAGTTGTGGGTGTACCAACACTGGAAGTTTTTAAGAGGAGATGGGACTGCCAAATGGTATAGGATCTCCTGCTTTAGTGGGGGGTTGGACTAGAAGACCTCTAAGGTCCCTTCCAACTTGGTTATTCTGTTCTGTTGCTCAGAAAACCTTCAGAGAGATGAAATCAAGAAATCCATCCCTTCTTCCTTCCAAAGTCAGGAAAAAAAAATATTCTAAAACCATCCGAGATAAGACGCAAAAACAGATGTCTCGCTCAGAGGGGTGAAAAACTTTCAGGAAATTTCAGCATCAGATGAACCCAGCTGGAGTCCTGTCTCTAAATCTTTGATCTTAGATATATATTTAAAAATAATAAAAAAAAAACCAAACTCACCACCAGTCTTGCCTCTTTGTCAGAGATTTATCTCTCCCGTTCCTCCCGAGACTTGTCACACCTGCTAATTCCACTCGACTCGCTGGGGAGACATTACGTCAGGCCCTCCGCTAAACCCTGTCACTTCAGAGCCAGAAATCGTGATAAATAATAACAACAATCATTCTCTTTCCGTGACTTTCACAGGCAAACTTTTTTTCCCCCCCTTTTCGAATGGGGGAAAGCAGGTAGGCATTTCCACATGGCGGATTCCGAAGAGATTTTGGATTGCTTGAGAATGCTAGAGCAATGTGGTTTTGGGTTTTTAAAAGAATCTCCTCGAGGTTGCACAAGAGTTTACTAAGCGGTTATCCTGATCAACTACAGGAAGTCCTTGAGTTACAACAGTTTGAATAGAATAGAATAGAATAGAATAGAATAGAATAGAATAGAATAGAATAGAATAGAATTACCCTGTAACTCCACTGATCCATTACAATATCCTAGGACAGGGGTAGGCAACCTTGGCTCTTTTATGACTCGTGGACTTCATTTCCCAGAATTCCTGAGCCAGCTAAGCTAGGAGGTTCTTGGGAAGAACGCAGTGCAAATTACAGCCAACACGATCTAAAGATCCGGCAACTGCGTTTTCACATTGTCGTTTATATAATAACCATCATAATTCTAAACTAATGGGTGTGCCTGCAGTGAAAATTTGCATTGCAATCTGTTTTCACTAAAGTGTCCCCAACCAGCTAAAGGAGGTGATAATTTTCCTGGCACTCTGATAACAATTTCCTTTGCCATTCCAGCAAGATTTCTGTAAAAAAAAAAAAAAAAAAATGGAAGAGGGAGGCGCTGAATCTCTGCAGACCGTGTGTGTGTGTGTGTGTGTGTGTGTGTGTGTATCCGTGTGTGTGTGTGTGTGTGTGTGTGTGTGTGTGTGTGTGTGTGTGAATTTGCTGGCCTTGTGTGCATACTGCATCGTCGTGTCAGCTTTGGCACGAGTCCTGAATTGATGGATGTAAAATTTCCTGGCTCGGCTCGCCAGTTCCTCTCCTGCTCACAGTTCTGGATCGCTGCCCGGACTGTGTGAGCGTAATATGTAAAGCTGTTGGATGCCTTGGACAATATCAGAACTCTTGAGACAAAAGGTAGGGGGAAAAAAAAAAGAGAGGAAAAAGAGAACCAGATTCCAGGTCAAATGTTGACCTGGTCCTCCAAAATACACAATAGAAGGCCTTAAGACTCCACGCGGTTTAAAAGTCTGGATGAAATCCTGAAAACTTTTCCAGACTCTACAGAAAAAGGCAGCCCCATGAAGGAGTTTTTAGCTTAGTTTCCGTGCAAGGCCAATGACATTAAATCGACTTTTGCTTCAGCCTGGACCTCACCTGTTTTTAGGAGTGACTTCTTCACTGCCTGTCAACATAGTCCTCTAAGAAAATGGTGTGACTCCTGAGATGCATTGCTTATAGACATGCTTGGCTGATATTCTAAAAGAATGAACTTCCCTCGGAATCATCTTTGGAACACACACACTCACACAAAGCACAAACACCCCTTGATCTTTAAAGCACATCAAATTATGAATTATACTTCAGGTGTGTGGAAGTGACAAAAAGACCAAAAATGCCTCTTTGTCAGCAATCAACGTCCAGATGAATAGAGATTAACACCAAGATTAACAGTAGAGCAAAAATCACGTCGTAAACAATACCCCAAACAAGGAACTACCAACTCAAACCATCACAGTAACCAACAGCCTAATCAATATTGACAGGGCAAGCCATTGTATATAAACAGAGAGCAAACCCCACTCCCTTCTAGCACTGATGATGTTGCCTAGTTGGGTAATGAAATATCTGCAAGAAAACCACTAAGCTCATAGAGCACCAAGGACCACTTGTCTGAAATGGTATATAGGTTCTCCTGCTTGGATTAGAAGACCTCCAAGGTCCCTTCCATATTCTATTCTATTCTACTCTATTCTATTCTATTCCATATTTTTTATTCTGTTCTGTTCTGTTCTATTCTATTCTATTCTATTCCATTCCATTCCCTATTTTCTATTCTATTCTATTCCACTCCATCTTTATTCTATTCTATTCTAATTTCTACTCTATTCTATTCCATTCTAATTTCTATTCTATTCTATTCTCATTTCTACTCTACTCTACTCTATTCTATTCTCATTTCTATTCTCATTTCTATTCTATTCTATTCTATTCTATTCTATTCTATTCTATTCTATTCTATTCTATTCTATTCTATTTTCTGTTCTAATTTCTATTCTGCTCTTATCCTATC